AGGGATGTAAAGTATACCACAAGGAACATAGTCAATAATATTTAATAACTATGTGTGGTGTCTGATGGGTCGGAGATTTATTGGGATGATCACTTAGCATGTTATGTCTAATCACTGGGGCGTACACCAGAAACTTATAAAATATTGCATGCCAACTGTAAATGAAAAATACAAAATGATTAAAAAAAACGTTAGCTAATACGACCATATTGGAAAGCTATTTGACAATAACTACTAAGATGAATATGCACATTGTTAAACTAATTTAAAAAGGAAGCCATTAGACTGAGGTGACTTTCACGTTTTAGTGGCCTACAGGCAAACCAGAACCTACGCATATAATGACTCAAGGTTAAGAAACTGAAACCTAAGGACGATCAACCACAAATAGCCAACTAGGCTTTCCCAAATAATCCAACCACTTAAGTTGTAACTAATCAAATAATTTATTTGCTTTGTTTCTACTTCTTCTCTATAAAAGTCTTTCTCCAGCTTCTATCAGTGGAGCTTTCCTAACCACTTTTGGTTTGGCTCTGCTTGATTCCAAACAGTTTTTTGCATAAATGAACTATATTCAAATTTTTAATATGCTTCAGTTTACCTGTTCAACAACATACATGATGACTGTGCAGTACTAGTCCTGGGTACATATAGAAATGTATGTCTATGTTGCCGAAAGAGGTGGACAAAAATGTTTATAGCAGCACTAACAGTAAAAACCTGAAAATAGCCCCAAAACCTATCAACAGTGGAAATGAATGAATAAAACGTGATGTATCACACAATGGAATACCTTGCAGCAATGAGAACAAACTAACTACTGCTGTGTACAACATGGGTGAATCTCACAAATACAATGTTCAGCACAGACACACAAAACTACAGACTTCATTTATATAAAACTTGAAAACAAAATCTATGCTGTTAAGTCAGTGTCATGGTTGTCTTAGGGCAGAGGTGGTCACCGGGAATAAACACAAGTGGGACATCTGGAGTGCTTGATGATTGATTCTGGGTGTTGGTTATACTTATGTTGTAATATTTTCTAAAGATTTTATTTATTTTTAGAGAGAAGGGAAGGGAGGGACAAACAGAGGGAGAGAAACAACTGGTTGCCCCTAGCATGTCTCCAACTGGGTGGGAACCTGGCCCACAACCCAGGCTACTGTGCCCTGACCAGAAACAAACAAGTGACCTTTTGGTTTATGGGACAATGCCCAACCCACTGAGCCACACCAGTCAGGGTTGCAGTGAAAATTTTTGAGCTATACATTCATGATTTATTTTTCTGTACTTCAAAAATGAATTCTTAAAATACACTCATAAAAACTGATTTCAAGCTCTTTAGCATAACATTAAGAACCTTCACAATCTGGCACTAATCTGCTTTGGGGCCACATTTCTGAAACTTTACTTCTCATTCCTGGCTCTGCATTCTCCAAATATCTGTCCTTTGAGTAGGTGTTTTGATCTGTCTTGACTACCCTTTGCTGCTCGGCCTCTCATTCCCATCTTTTATTCTCTGTTCAGATATCTCCTCTGTGAAGCCTTTCTGACTCACTCCAATCACTGTCTGGATTCCCACAGTAACTTGTAAAATCTTCTATTTTAGCATCACTTACCATACTCTAATATTTGCATATGTGTTTAGTCCACTAGAGTGTGAAATGCCTGAGAACGAGTGCTGGGTTGTCATTTCTGTGCCTCAGTGGAAGCATAGTACCTTATTCATTTATCATACCTATCCTGTGAAATGCTCTGTGACAGGTGTCTGGAAATACAGAAGTGAGCTTCTCAAGAGCTTATGATCTGCCAAAGATAGCACTCAATAAAGCAAAAAGACAGAAGATATATAAAGGAACACATAATAGGATAGGAACAAGCATTTTTAAAAAATTATTAGCTTTACTAAAGTGTAATTTACCTATGATAAAATTCACTCTCTTAAGTGCATGTTTCTATAAGTTTTTTCCTCCCAGCCAAAAACCAGCTTTATTACTGATGCTGGAGTCTTTGAAGACCATACAGTGTACCTGGACTGTTCCCCAGGGCTCCGAGGACTGCCCCCAGGAGTCAGGGACAATACTGTGCAGCACTTACACTGGAATGATGTAAATACAGCTTAGGTGTACACATTTTCAGGAGGACAGACTGACACCTTGAGACAAATACTGGACATAACACCAGCTCTCAGCAGGGATTGGGTTTTTGGCTGAGGTGGGTAACTTCTAAGTGATTAGCGCTGGGGCTGCAGCAACCCGGTGGCAGGGGGCAGCATGTGGGGCCAAGGCTCTGCTTGGCCCAGTCCTTCCGCCTCCTCAGTCATCTTCAGGATGGTTTCTCTGTGCACACTGCTAGCCATGTTGGTGTCATCTGGCCGCATCATCCAGCAGATCTGGATGGCGGACTACAGGTCGCCGGCAAATCGGTGGCTGGCGGCTGAAGGAGAGGGCAGGTGTCTGGCCTAAGTTCTACAAGTTTTGACAACTGTTTACAGTTGTGCAACTACCCTCACAATTAAAAATAGAACAAGAGTTCTTCTCTCAACTCCACCCATGGGAAACTGATCTGTTTTCTGTCCTGTAGTTGTGCCTTTTCTAGAATTTCATAAAAATAAAAGCATACAGTAGGTAGTCCATGTCTGCCTTTTTTCACTTGCTTCTAAAATTCATAAAACTTCTGAGATTTATCCATGTTGTTTTATGTATCAGTAGCTCATCCCTTCCTATAGTTGAGTAGTATTCTACTGTGTGACAATCTGGAAGAAGATCTACGAAAGGACATGAGAACCCATAAAATAAAGTACTATGAAAATTCTATAATTATAAAGAATTTACAACTTCATATATATTTTAACCCCCTGTTATCCTAGAGTGGTTAGCAATAAAAACTTTAAAAACCTAAACAAAGGATAAAAAAGAATCCTATGTTTTTATTTAATGATTAGAAAGTATGTTGGAAAAGACTGTCTTTCCCCACAGACAATCCAGGAGACAAAGGAACCCCTAAAACATAGAGTACACGGTTGCAACTTGGAACATGAATGTAGACTGAATTCTTGGGGCCTGCGGAAAGAAGACAGGAATCCCTGAAGAGCCCCTACAGGGGTTAGAAGCAATACTAGGGGCTTACTGAAACAAATATTGGAATCTCCTTAACATGTTTTTCAAACGTTGCTTTCACCTACAAACCTTTTACCTAAGCACTAACAACTATATTCTCCTTCAGGATCGTGTTTTGGTGTGTTTCTTTCTGATTGACATAATTAAAAGTAATCCTGTATCTAAGTTCTGTCAAGGAAGCTTCCGTGGGAAATTTTTGATTCCCACCTCATGTTACTTGCAGCAGATACTAGTATTTTGGAGCCATGTTCATTCACTAGAGCTAAAGAGAAACTGAATAAAAATGAAAATTTGTCCTTTCAAGGAAGGTACTTACGGGGATCCTAGCTGTGATGGGTGGCTTGCCAAGGGTCCTTTTCTGGGTGCAGAATAATCATATTGCCAGAGGAATGGGAGGAAAACTGGAAGACCATCTGCATCTTACCTCAGTGTTTTTAAAATAGCATGGTTAGCTGCATATCTGTACTGCTTTAAAGTGACACCATATAGCTTATTTGGTAAAGTGCTGCAAGACTGTTTTCAAATAGAATTGCTAAGTGCATACATTATTAATTGGGCCATATTGCTGAAAGAAAAATAACAGAAATGCTAGTTTTTATATTGTTCTGGAAACAAGAGAATCAAAGTCAGAATCCTTGAAATATAATTACCTACATTTATGCAAACATTCCTAAAAGTAGTTAATAATGACATTAATTACTTTTGTGAGTTCTACCTATTCTATTTTTTTAAGATTTTATTTATTTATTTTTAGACAGGGGAAGAGGGGAGAGAGAGAGGGAGAGAAACATCCACGTGTGGTTGCCTCTCGGGTGCCCCCTACTGGGAACCTGGCCCCTCAACTCAGGCATGTGCCCTAGACTGGGAATCGAACCCGTGACCTTGGTTCACAGGCTGGCACTCAATCCACTGAGCCACACCAGCCAGGGCTCTACTTATTCTAATGTATGCTTATCCTTAAAAGTTAATAGAATTCTAATACTAAGTAAGATCCTAAGAGACAAATTAACTTGGGATTTCCTGTTAAGGATACAGTAACAATGGTTTTCATCTTCACAGGAAAGACCTTATCTAAATTTTCTTGTCAAGTTTCCTGAGAACTGAAAGGCTATAATCATACCAATAAAATGAAAAAAGGTGCCAGATAAAGACAAACTAAAACAACTTTTCTATTAAGTGTAAGTACACATGTTTTTTTTTCTCTCCTTTGTCTAGAAGTCTGAAAAACTACGTTTCATAATCATATGATAGCTCTAAGAATGTCAGTACCCAATGTGCAGTCCATTAATACAAAATAGCTTTTCTGCTGTTACCAGTTGAGTCATGCTGTGGAAACGATCAAAGTGTACCTAACCATGGGAAATGCTGCTTAAGATTCAGCTATGGCTGTAAATGGAATCTCTGGTTAGTTTAAAAAGGATCACTTTTTTTATTGTTATTATTAAACCTACTGCTTAGATCATATATTGAGCTCCTGCATTTTAATAGAACTTAGATGATAACAACAGCAATGTACTGCAAAGTGACTACCCTACAGTTACCCAGCCCTTCTAATAAAACCGTCCGCTGTCTCTCCCACAGGACAAGGCAGACTACTGGAGATGAGACACGCTGACTGAAGTCCTCCATACAGTCAAAGGACCTAAAAACAGCTTAGCATCACCTTCAGCATCCAGCAAGTAGACAAGACACTTGGGTTTTGGTAAGGTTTTGTGAAACTTATTTCTGAGTTCCAACTGAGTTCAGGAAAACAAAAAACTAGCAACAACAACAAAAACCAGTGTGCTATGTGACACCACGGAGCTCTGACACCCATCAGTGAGGCTTCCCTGTCATAAGAATTCTCCATGCTCAGGACAGAAATGACCCATATATTACCTTTAACTGCTCTAGGGCAAAAGATGAACCATCCCGCTGTAAATTTTCAATAATCTGTTCCACAGTATTGGCGGAGAACCAACTATAAGAAAGGAAACACGTGATTTCACCAGTATAATATTTCTTCTTTCTGAGATAGCAATGAACCTAAACATAGGCGTCCCCCACTCCATTTCAAAAATGAAAAATTTTCCAACCTATTTTACAGGATGATGAAATAAAATATTGCTTCTCTGGGTAAGTGTTTTCAGTCTATCTTCACTAATATAAAATAAAGCCTAAATTTTCTCTTTTGCTCTCTTGCATCTATTACTTATAAATAAATGATATCTTAACTGTGAAAAATTGAGACCTCTAAAACATGGAGATAGTTGTCTTATTTTCCAGTAGTTTTTCTCTTCTGTGTTCCTTAAGCCAGTCTGTCAATCTCTCAAATCACTGCACAAAACCATTGGCAGATGGGCTTGATAAGACCTTCAGAGAAGATGACTTTACAAAGATAAAAGGTAAGTTAATTCAATTATTTTCTAGTCTCTCTACCCCACTTGAAAAAAAAGACTTCTTTAAAAAAATATAATGGATTTGTTTCCCCTGAAAGAGTGGTCAAGAAGCTATTTTCCAAAGTAAGTGAAAATAAAAGTACAATGCTATTTGACTTCAGAATTAGGTACCTTATCAAACACAATGTAATTACAATGTTAGCAAGTTCCAATTAATACAGAATTTCCAAAGAAACAGACATAATTGAGATCTCTCTTTAAGTACCTGTTTATTTTGTCCATGTGTTCCTCAAGTACGAAAGACTTGCCTTGATCAATCTTGGACTGTTTGAAAAGAAAAATCTTTAATTTGAAGTAACATAAATCTTTTTAAAAATCCTTAATAATTTTATATTTAATGATACACTTTGTGACAGATTATCACCTTCACTCAAATTACACCCAACAGTCTCAAATTACTACTACCATATGTTCAAAATTCAGATGTATTATTTCAAACTAGCACTTGAAAGTGTCAAAGGCCAAAAATGTTCTTGTATTTTTATTTTCATATCATTATATGCACTATATTATCAATAAAGTGTGTCAATAAATTTAAGAACTGTAAAAGGCCTGAGAAGTCACCCTGCCCAAACTCGCATGTGATATGAAAACTCCAACCACATCCCTGATACCCCTGGCAGCACTGACCTTCAGGGGAAACCAGGACCTCAGGAAGAAACTCAAAAGTGCTTGAAAACTATAATTAGAACTTCTTTAAAATTCTGAACCAAAAATAAGGCCTCTCATATTTCTAGTTCTGGTTAATCCTTCTACCTTAATCTTCTCACATAGTGCAGTTTTGTGCCCGCTCACAATCCAGGTCCTTCTTATTCCAGTTTATCAAGGTCACTGTTAAAGTGTGGAACACGTACCTTTGCTGCAGGTGTGGCTGAATCATAAGAAAGTACAACAGGACTGCACATATCCTTGTTTGTTTTGGATACAATGCTTTTACTAATAGAACTAATTCTGGGTTAGTTTGGGGGCAGTCCTATTAGGCTGCTGATTTACACTAAACATCACAACTTTTTTTAACCTGTGCCATTGTAAGCTACATTTTTCCTATCCAGTGCTTAAGAATTTGGTATTTTGGACTAAAATCCAAAATTTTCACTTATCTCTATTGTGATACTGTGATTTAAAATAAACATCTACTTCATCTTTCGTTCATAGCTCACAGCTCCCCAAACCCTTGGAATATCGTAAGCAGAGCATCTTTTGTTTTAATATTTGGTCTTTCATCTTCAGTTCCTGAAATAAATGTGAAATGGGTATCTTGTTATTCTTAACAAGTCCCTTCCAACCGAACCGCTGTTTATGTTAATGAGGTGACTTTTGGAAAGTCCCACAGGAAGGGGGCTGTTGCCAGGGGAACCAAACTTGTATTAGAGAGTTGGAAGTTTCAGTCCCATCCCCCACCATCATCACCCCCACCTCTCCGCTTCCCTCCTGTCACCTCCAACTCGGAAAGGAACTGAAGACTGAACCAATATCCAATGATTTTATCAATCATGCCTATGTAATGAAGCCTCCATAAAAACTCAAACAGGATGAGTTTGGAGAGCTTCCAGGGTTGGTGAGCACAATCACATTCAGGGAGAGAGTGCACCTCAACTGCATGGGGGGGACAGAGCCCCTGCACTTGAGACCCTTCTAGACCTCGCACTTCATCTGGGTGTTAATTCATGTCCCTTTCTATATCATTTATAATAAACTAATAAATGTGAAGTGTTTCCCTATTTTGGGGAGCCATCCTGGGACATGGGACTGCCATCTGAAGTGGGGTCAGTCTTGGGGGACTGGGTCCCTAAGCTGGGTGATCTGGTGCTAACTCCAGGTAGATGGTGTTAGCATGAAATGAATTAAAGGACGCCCAGATGGTGTCACAGAGAATTGCCCAATGGGTGGGAAACTCACTCTTCTGGTGTCAGAAGTGAATGTGGGAGTACAGTGCTAGTAAAGAAAAACACAGGGTGTGTTTTCCTTATAAATCTATTAAATTTCATATTTGTTGCTATTAGATCACTCTAAACTCAAAGGGTTGTTTTTAATCCATAGTCTTTTACCTAATTTAATTTATATTTTTAGTTTTAAGTCAATTTGATCCAAAACACTGTCAACACTCTCATGCAAATCATGGAAGAAAACACTGAATAAGACAAGGCTGGCACGACTTTTCTTACAGACTAATAGCTACAGATTTAACAGAACCCTTTGGTAAGGCTGTTCAGCCCCCACACACTGCAATCCACCCCAGGTTTACCCAACTTGCCAACAGGACAGGCTGTCAAGTGCCTGACAAAACTCGGAAGAAACCCTCACCTGCTGCGCTCATAGGAACTAAACTGAGCATTCAGAGCCCTGTCTGTGGGGGACGGAGAAGGCTGGCATCATGCAGCTGGAGCCCGAGGGGGCTGAACAGGACATAGATAACTGCAAGCCTCAGCTGAATGCGACTATAACTATTGCAGAAGACACATGTATCAGTTAGATAGCCTGAGAACAGAATGATCTGTGCCTGCGGCATCTCCCTAAGTTTGCAAAACATCCGTGAGCTGTATCTAACCCACCCCTATAAAATAAACACGGAGACCATGTTCAGGACTCATTGTCTCTCCATCAGAGGACAACGTCCCACCCAGTCCCTGCTCTTCCCTAAACTATCTGTGTTGTCTTTCTTCATCTCCCGCCGACCCCACTCAGGTACCCCGACTCCACACTGGTCCTGGCACCTGTGGATCGGTACTCATGTGCTTCATTTCTGGGTAAATTTTTGGTACTATTTCTCTAAATATTTCCACCCCTCTACCTTCTTCTTATGAATTCCTAATAAGTATGTATTAGACCTCCTGGAATAATACCTCTAATTTTCCTTTCTCTCCAATTTCCATTTTATTATTCTTTTTGTCCTCAGAGTTTCCCTCAACCATCAATTTCAATCTAATCTGTTGAAGATTATTCCCCCCACTTGCCATCCTATTTTAAATTTTTGTTCTTTGACTACTTCTTTGCATAACATGTTCTTAATCATATATGAAATATTTTCCGCTTATCTGATGATAACAATGATAAGAAGTTTCCTTCTTCTTCCTGCATCTTCTGCTTCCTTCAAGTCCCTTTTTTGTTCACTTTGGTCAATCTCTGGTTTTTTACAACTGGCAATCCTTGTTTTTCTATGTAAAGTACTAAAGTTAGGAAGCTTTGTGTGTGTCGACTGCAGTTATAGGATTGTCAATTGTCTGATGCATTGAAGATGTTCAGGCAAGGACCTGGATATTGCACTAGAAGATCCTCAAATGTCAGGATCTACAGGTTTCTTCTTTTTCTTCTAATGTACTGCTTGAGAGTAGGATGATGCTATGGACTGGATGTTTGTGATCCCCCCCCCCCAAAATTCACGTTGAAACCCTATCGCCAGTGTGATGGTATCTGGAAGCAGGGACTACGGGAGGTCATCGGGTCAGGACGCTAGAGCCCTCACGAAGGCTGCTGCTGTTCGCGCTCTGCTGTGTGGGGATACAGCAAGGTGGCTTCCACTCCCTAACCAGGAAGAGGATCCTCACCAGGAACCTACCTGGTTGGCATATTGATCTTGGATTTTCCAGCCTTCAGAACTGTGAGAAATAAGATTCTGATGTTTAAGCCACCTAGTCTCTGGTATTTTTGTTATAGCTGTCCAAACTGACTAAGGCAGATGGTATGTAATGGTTCTGGAAGCCACCAGGGAGAGAGGCTAGAAGTCTTCCCATTTGGTATGTTTCGCTTCAGTAGATCACTTCACCTGCCCCTGCCCCAGCTGCACCTGTCTGATTCCGTCTCTTTAAGGGGTCTCTACTCTCCTGCCAGGCTATAAGAGGACAGCTGCTGCTTAGAAAAATGTGCAGAGATCTTCCTATTTTTCTGCCCTATTCCACAGCCCTGTCTTCAGAGTGAGGTGGTACCTTACAAAGGGTCTACAGCAACAGCTGGCTTCCCTCTTATGGCTTCCCCCACTAAAGGATACGATTTTAGTGTTCTCCCTCTAAAGTCGCTGCCCTCATCCTTCTTTCAGGGATCCAAAATATTGGCAACTCATGCCTGCCATTGTTTCCTCTTCTATTCTATTTGTCTTTGTGGATTCATGACCATTTTATTTCTTATTACTATTTAAGTGGGGTTTTAGGAGACAGCATATATTCCATCCATCATGTTTAACTAGAAGTCATGTAGCATTTTAATAGATTCTTGGCGCTTAAAAGTAGATAACATAACTAAGGAATTAAAAGTAAACACTGCAATATACTGTATTATATTTATTTATATACCAGAGTGTCACTTTAGCATCTCCCCAGACAATGTCAGCATTGAACCTCCATTACAGAAATGCCATAGTGTGTTGCAAAAAAACCCTGCAAGGGCCAATCACAAGGCTATGCACTGAAATTCACAAGCAGTGAGAAGACAAGCTGTGTAGTTGCCCAGCAGTATATTCTTGGATGGCTATTGTAACAATCCTTCCATCAAGCTTGGAAGTAAATAAATCCCAGTACATTTATTTACATCCACAAACCATAATGTTCATTAATTGCTATTTTTCAATCACTTACCCTTCCCCATGAATTAAAATCTGAGTTTAGAATATCATATTACCTTTGTATGGTATGTTTCTAAGACATCTGCAATATTTTCTTTTGAAGGAGATTTCAGGGCTAACAAATCTTCTTCTAACATGCCCAACTAAAGGTAAAAAAAAAAAAAAAGGTGGGGACAGATTTGAAACACCATAGTAACACAAAAACAATTATTTAGAAACCTTATATTCTTTTTATTTTTTATATTATTTTTTAAAATCCCTGTCTTAAAATTATGATGCTCGCTCTCTTCAGCTGAGTCCAAGAAGGACATGTTCGCTGAAGATGTGCACACACAGCCCCACACAGCAGATGTTGCCTTGCAAGGAATGAATAAAGGTGGGGAAATGAAAGAGGACAAGTAAAGACATTTGCCTTTGTTTCTCTCTGGTTATCGAGCACTTGAAGTGTGGTAATGCAACCAAAGATCTGAATTATAATGACTTTACCTAAAATTACCATGTGTGACTAATGACTACTAGAATCACACAGCTCTATATCATAGCCACACTTAAATCTCCATTTATACCCCTCATATACCTATCCTATGCTCAGCCAAGTGGGGCTTTTTACTGTTCCAAAACATAGCTAATGCCTTCCTGCCCCATGTGCTTGCTCATTAAATGTTTCCTCTATCCAGAATGCCTTTTCCTGACCATACACATCTTAAAACCCAGCTGAACTGCAACTCTTTGAGAAAATATCCAGTCCTTCAAGTAAGCCCTTCTTCCTTTCAATAACCGCTGAGTACTTGCTTTGTATTGTCTTTACACTTGTCATATTTTACTCTGTCCTATGCGACAGACGGTTGTTTGCATTTTGTACCCACCTCTGTCCAGCCCCATCCCCAGTGTGTATAGTGTATTATTCATTTCTGTTATCCTCCATAGACCCTATGAATGGCAATCTACTCACTGCAGATATTACGACTGGGCAAGCTAACAAAGAAGGAACAGGCTGCCAATCAGTGTTCTCTGCCATCCTTAACTAAATTCCACTATAATCAAGAGTGTCTCCCCGGAGTAGATAATGGAGTATCCATGTTTGTTTCCTGTTACAGTTCAAGAGAAGGATGAGATAGTCACCCACTCAGTGTGACTGAGGATGCCAAACATGGAGCAAGATCTGAAACTCCAGGCAAATGTGATGGAAGGCACTCATAGCAGTGCATAGGGGACAATCTTCAGCTTTGTCTACTTCGTTCATTCTTACAGCATTCCTTCTGCTAACCCAAAACACCCCTCCCTCAGGAGCAGATACTCATTTGGAGATCTATATGCTTCCTGAAAAGCTGAGTCCACCCCACAGTTACAGGGATGGAGCACATTAGCTAGGACAAGCTAGTCAGTGTACTCCACCCACCAGGTGGTTCAAGGGTAATATAAACCAGTCCAATCAGAATGAGCTAAGTCAGCTGAAGCAGAATAAATCCCAAACATCTTTCTGGGAATTCTGAGACAAAGTCACCTTGAATTGGGTTTTCTGTTACATTTAACAGAAGTAGTTTCAACTACTGTGATAAAACTGGTGCCCCCATTTTGGAAATGGGAAAACGCAGGCTGAAGAGGTTAAATGCAATCTAGGGTTTAAATCCAGGTTGGCTGGCTACATATTCTTCACCACTGTGCTAAGAAAATTGGAACACTGTTTTTTTTAAAAAGACAAAGTAACACCGTCCCCTGCAACAGATATCCTTTAGGAAAGTTTTTAAGACCATATTTTACAAATGCACCAGGGAAACTAAAAACCAAAAGAAACTTTCAAAAATGTTTTTATGAAACAAAAACCTAGCCCTGGCTGAAAATAAAAGCCTGTCTTTTATATAACTCTAGATTTTATTTATTAGACTTCCTTAAAGTATGTATTTTTTACAGAATGTAATTCATTAAAAAAACATTCACTGACGGCACCAGACAAAACAGCTCTGAATCTAGATAAAATCATCTCCATTTTGTGTATGAAAAAAATGAAGCCCTGGCTGGTGTAGCTCAGTGGATTGAGCACCAGCCTGTGAACCAAAAGGTCGCTGGTTCAATTCCTAGTCAGGGCACACGCCTGGGTTGTGGGCCAGGCTCCCAGTAGCAGGTACACGAGAGGCAACCACACATTGATGTTTCTTTCCCTCTCTTTCTCCCTCCCTTCCCTTCTGTCTATAAAAATAAGTAAAATATTTTTTAAAAATAAAAGAAAATGAAGACTGAAGAGCTTAAGAACCTTCCCTAAGCTCACAGAGTTTTAAGCAGCAGATCCAGGATTCAGACTCATATCTACCAAAGGCCTATGATCTCAACCACTCATACTGCCCCCCATGTAATAGGAGTTATTCCAACAATACCAAATGCAACCATCCAAGAAATTACCTTTTCAGAATCTACAAAGTGTGTAGCAATCCCTGCTGCATACACATCTCTTCCTTTCAGCCTGAATCCTGTTAATGCAAGTAAGTAACCAAGTTTTCCTTGAAGTCTTGGCAAAAAATAACCTCCACCAACATCAGGGAATAGTCCTGTAATTAAATAACAAAAAAAGATAGCAATGATTCAAACGAAGGATATGAACATAACTTTCTTTACTTTAGATCAGATTGGTATCAAACGATACCTACATATGAGGAAACTACATGAGGCTAGGGCAAGAACCATAAAAAAGGATTACAGACAAGAGTAGTGGGAGCCCACATAAAGCTGGGAATAGTCCCTGTTCCCACCAGTCAGATTAGAAAGACTCATGATTCATGGAGCACTGAGTAGAATACAAAATGGAAAATAATTTGCACTAGCCTGATTCTCACACAAGATTCTATCAATTTCTTCAACAACAATATAATCTGAAATGTATCAAAATAAGATGATTTAAAAGTAATGATGAAAAATTTTGGGGTTTTTTATACCTATTGCAGTTTCTGGCATTGCAAAAAGAGACTTTTCAGTAGCCACTCGGAAGTGCCCATGAATCGAGACTCCAACTCCCTAGGGAAATAAGACAAAAAAATGTTTTAAAATACTATGAAAAATAAAAACAAACTCACACACTCACAATACTATGAACCAAGTAAATTATATTCCACAGGAATTTCTTTCAGGAGATAGACTGAAGAGAAACCCTAAACCACACAATTTCAGAAAATCTTACTAGGCAAAAAAATCTGTGGATATCCCTGGTACCTGGAATAGATCTACTTTAGTTAAGACGTTTGTACTCAGTATTTCTGTGTTATGCTTCATGGCCTCTTCCCCAGGTCCCTCTCACTTCAAACCAGATGCAGCACCAGAGAATACTGACTTCTCAGAACTACTGAGTGTTAGTGGGACCAATCTTCAACCAAGCTATTCTGGAAAATTCCAGTAGCTTTAAGTAGAATATTAATACATTTATTCATATATTTTATCAAATACAATTAGCAACATCATTTTTTTCATATACAATGGGGCCAACTATATAACTCTTTAAAAATGGTTACTAAAACACAAGTTTCAAAAACAAAATGAATGGCTGAAAGTTCTCTGTCTCTGATTTGTTGAATGTCACTGAAAAGGACAAACTTGATGATCATCTCTGAATAAAGAACATATTTGAATGAACATACTTGAATAAACAGACATTTGAATAAAATAAGAGGTATGCAAATAACAAAGTATCCAAATTTATGCCACATTATAACATACATTTCCTATGTTCTTTTCACACTATTCAGAGAACTTCTGTTACATTCAGTTCCCACCCTTAACTACCCAGTCACACAGTTAAATTAGTTAAAACATAAAATATTTGAAACAATGTCAGGCTTTAAGAGTTTTGTAAGAATGAGCTCAATACAAAGCTCAATAGAAAGGGAAATAAAGGGTTATCAGGTCTTCAAGTTCCTCTCAAATGGTTCAGGAAAAAAGTATTCATAGATAGATGTGGGAGAGAGGAAGAGAAAAAAAACAAACGTGGAAAATGAGAACAAGGAACGTGGATGAAAGATATACAGGAGAGTTTTTTTACACTATTCTTGCATCTTTTCTGAAAGTTTGAAATTGTTTTACAATAAAAAGTTTTTAAAAATTAAAAACAAATGTCCCAAAGTGAATAGAGCCTACAACCACAGTTAAGAAAACAAACTCAGAAAGGTACTCAGTGGGGAGATGTGATGAATGCTCACACAGAGTCATGGATTTAAATTCAAGTCAGAGAGAATCTGTAAGCTCCTGCTCAGAATGAGCACTGCATCAGCATCAGCATCAGTATGTGAGAGACTTTCCTCACCATCATTTACAGTCATAAATGGTGTGTTATTTTACTAAGCTATAAAATTAAATATCACAAGTTTCATACTGTATCTCTGGAATGCTAATTTAGTCAGCAGGCTCCACAGTAAAAACAAGTAACTTTACTATGCATCACACATTAATGTTAATAAGCTAATACTGCACATAATAACATTAATATATTATATAAATAGTAATGTATTTGCATAAACTAATATACCGAGATCAGCAGGAAACACATTTTTATCCCACATTAAATGCCTATACCAAGGTCTGTCCAGAAAAAGGCCAGCCATTGTTAGTATAATGAGAACAGTTTGTGTGACATTGATATAACCTGGTAGCCAAGGAGAGTGGACTGGAACACACATGTTTAAACAATGACAACTTCACTGTACTAGTCAGTGGGGGCAATAGACACTGCTGAGTGAGCATGTGTACTCTATGGCCATCACATTCTAAATGAGCAAGTGGAGCAACAAATCTGCATCAAAGTTTGCCTTAGGCTTCAATATTCCTCCACAGAAAGTATTCAGATGATTCCAAAGGCTTTCAGGGATGATGCAATGAGGGCAGTGCAAATAAAAGTATGGCACAAAAGCTTCAAAGATGGTCAAGAATCTGTTGAAAGTGATCCATGCTCTGGAAGGTCTGCAACAAGCAGAACATCTGAGAATGTTGAACATGTACAGGCTGCAATCAATGAAGATCAGCGACTGACAATGCGAGAACTAGAAGCTAATCTGGAGCTTCCAAAAATACTGTGTCCAAGATTTTGACACAGGATCTTGACATGAAATGTGTTGTGGAAAAATTTGTTCCATGGCTTCTGCTACCAGAGCAGAAGAGACATCATGCTACAGTTGTTCATGACTTGATTTAAACTGCTACCAATGAATCACATTTCCACAAGGTCATAAATGGAGATGAATCATGGGTCTACCGCTGTGATCTGGAAACAAAGGCCCAGTTGTCCCAATCATCTCAATGGAAGTTGCCTGGTTCCATGCCTGAAGGAAGAAGGCCCGGCAAAGTCACGGCAAGATCAAGACCATGTTAACTGTGTGTTTTGATTGGGAAGGTGTTGTCCACCATGAGTACGTTCCTCCAAGCCAAACAATTAGTAAGGAGTACTACTTCAATGTTCTTCATCATTTGAGAGATGCAATATGACAAAAATGGTTGGTCACAGCTTTGGACAACTGGTGACTGGCAGCTTCATCATGACAATGTGCCTGCTCATGCATTGTATCTTGTTGGGGACCGCCCTGCCTGGTTTCAGAAGCTGTAACCCGCCCCACCCCCCCCCCCCATGGCCAAGGCTGAGTGAGCAACCTTCGGACCAGAAGCCACTAAGGAGACCAAGCTTATCTCCCTAGCAGGAGCACGCTTCTGCTCTTTTTACTGGCCCCCAGTGCTTGGTCAGTGAGCCAATGACAGGTAAGATTTCCCAAGGGGGGAAGGATCTAAGACAGGCATGATCACGTGGAGGCCCTCAGGGAAGGACTTGGGGGGCTATGGAGAAAGGGGGTGATGGACCCTCGCCCCTTGGCTTTGACAAAGCCTGAGTCCTCATCCTGTCTTCGAGAAGTCTCCTAATCTCTTGGCTGCCTTACTGCCTTTGCCTGACTTAAGCCTGAGACAATGCCTTAAGCCTGAAACAATGCTGGTGGTGGGTACCACCCTGTGCTATAAAGGGCAGGTTCCCTAGGGCAATCAGGCCTAAGAAAGAATATGTAAAATCCTGTGAAATCTGCTTTGTTTAGAATGCTGTCAATTAAATGATAAGGGTCCAAGCAAGAAGGGAGTTTGTTCCTCAAAGTTTTATTGCTCTTTAGCTATCAGACCCTGACTCAAAATAGGCCCTCAGAGTTCTTTGTTATCTATTGTTTGATCCTTACTGCCTGACAATGATTAATGAGCTTTACCTGTATTCTTGTGCAAACAAACCCAATAAAAGCCCATTGAGGAAAAGGCTCTTGGCCCTTCTCCTTTGAGAGATTGGCCACCTTTCCTCCCCAAGCAGATCATGTCTTGATAGATTTATTCTCATCCGTGGTGGCTGGGGAGGCCCTGCAGGCAGAGCCCCCCCCACGGTATCTTATGCAGAGTTTTTGGCAAAACATCAAATCACCCAGGTGACAACCTCCCCACAGCCCACATTTGGCACCCTGTGAATTCTGGCTCTTCCCAAAACTAAAATCACCTTTGAAAGGGAAGAGATTTCAGTTCCTCAGTGAGATTCAGGAAAATACAATGGGCAGATGATGGTGATTCCAACAAAGGACTTTGCAGATGTTTTAACAGTGGAAGAGACACTGAGAGAACTGTGTGAGGTCCCAAGGTAACTACTTTGAAGGGAACTGGAGTGTCATTGTCCTATGCATAATATTTCTTGTATGTTCTTCAATAAATGTCTCTTTTTCATATTAAATGGATATTTTCTGGGCAGGGCTCATGATTCACATTATTTTTGGACAAAAATTATATTCAACAGAAACAAATAATTGAGGCAGAAATATTTACATATAACTGTCTATCATTCTTGAAGGTATCATTTTACTTTAAACAAAAGAACCAGGAAGATATTTGAAAGTTCTTAAGAGAGTAAATCTTTATTTTCATTATAAGGAAAAAAAACTTAACTATGTGTGGTGATGGATGTGAACTAAGCTTACTGTGGTAATCATTTCACCACATACACATATATCAAATCATTATGTTTTATACTTAAAATTAATACAATGTTATATGTTCATTATATCTGTTTTTAAAAAGCAAGGGATTAAAAATCTGAATTTCATTGTCCAATGTAGAAACCTGGAAATAATCCTCACCTCCTTCTCCCCTTTCTCCCTCATATTCAGTATCATCAAATCCCACCAAGTCTGCTCCTAAATATCTCCCTTAAATCTGTCTAGTTTCCTGCCCCTTCATTATCTCCAACCCAACATGGTGCAGATGGAATGGAGGCAGGGTGAGGATGGCACAAGGGAGAGCAGGGGTCCTGCCACTTCACCGAGAACCTAGGGTGCTTTCACAGTTAAAAACAAAATGAACCAGAATCCTGACCAACCTGTCTACTGGATATGGCCAAAGAGAAAGGAAAAAAACTTCTATAGATCTGATCTTTAAAGTGAATCTGTAAGTCATAAAGTTGCCAAGACTACCCATTACCCTAGAAAGTCAAAGTTCTATTTCCCAGAATTCAATACCTTATAAGAGCAATTATCAACTGGTGTGCCACAAGAATTTTTAAAACATGTAATACTTGACTATTTAGTCATGGGCACTGACCTCTTTTTGCTTAGATTGTCAAATAAAACATGACAAGAACCAACACGACGATAGCCACCCAATGTGAACAAGTCAAAATTATACCTATTTTTAAGTCAAAATAATATGTTTTTTGGTGTGCCATAGATTTTTAGTAATCAGTTTATGTGTACATGACATGAATAAGATTGAAAATCGCTGCCTTATAACGAAGGTAGGGGCTGGAGGGTGGCAGCAGGCAATGAAGCCAATTTCCTATTAAGGAAATAGAAGCACTTCCCAATTCTGTATTTAGATATCCCCGGGCTAAAAGTCAGGGGGGAAAGAGTAGAAGAAAATGAAGAGTAAAGGGCTCTACCTAATAAGAGAGAGCAGGGTGAGATGGAGTTGAACACCACAGGAACATCTGTTAAAGATAATTCATTGCATTTTGAAAAATATAACATCATGCTTACTATGAAAAAGGTTCACTGTGAAAATAAATGACCCCAAAAATTTACTATGAGAAATCCTGCAACTAAAAGCAATCCTAACTCTCCCCTGATATGGCAGAAGGAAATCTAATTAGAGAGAATCCCATCGAAGAAAGGGAGACCTATCCCTCTCTATTAAGAAAAAGAAGACATCCATCCACAGTTGGAGAAAGTTCAACAGTGAACACATAAAAATGAATGGGTATAACCACATTCTCCATACACTTAGAAATCCAAGAGAAATTTCCTCTGTATTCCTCTTTTCATAGTTCCTGTTCTGTTACTAATATTTCAGTCTTAAAGGAGACCATTATTCATATCCTCCTTTGTCCAATTATTCTTCTTCTTGTCAAAGAAATATGGAGCTGGAGCTCCCATGCCAGAAGAACTGCCTTGCACCTCTTATGCCTCAAACTTTTGGAACATTAAAACAGCAAAATAACTCTGGATTGGACCTAAAGCAAAACTGTATTTGCAAAGGTAACAAGAGAACAGATATTACAACCACCAGACTGATGACTACAGGTTTGAAAAATTTTTTAATTGTTAAGAATTAGCATCACTGTGTTATGTTTTGGGCACCAATAGAAATGCCTTCCTTCTGCTGATGTAATTGCTTCCCTTCCCTTTCTCATAAATAACCATTACCTTCATTTCCTAATCAGAACATTATTTGGGCTTCTATCTGAATCAATGATTCTGATCAGCTATTCTTACTCTTTTTTTAATCTCAAATAAATGCTTGTTGCCTCTCACTTTGAAAGGCCTTTTCATTTTGTGATTGCACTGCAGTACCTTTCTTTAGTCTCTGACTGGTCACCCTTTATCACTGCACATCCACTTCCAGTCTAGTTTCATTACACTTACGACTGGCAACTTCTACCCTAAACCTGCAAAGGATCACAGAGCTCACCTCATATATGACATATTCCTGTATCTGACATCAGATCACCTTGATCTACACAACCAGGTTTAGCAACAATAATGTCTATCAGCAGACATGCACACTACAAGAAAATTATAGGCTAATGTTCCTGATGAACACAGATGAGAAAATCCTCAACAAATTATTAGTAAATCATATTCAATAATACATTAAAAGCACCATACACCATGATTAAGTAGAATTTATTCCTGTGATGCCAGGATGATTCAAAATATGCAAATCATGGAAAACAGTATGCAATTTCCTCAAAAAACTAAAAATGGAACTGCTTTTTGACCCAGCAATTCCACTGCTAGGATTATATCCTAAGAACCCTGAAACATCAATCCAAAAGAACCTATGCACCCCAATGTTCATAGCAACACAATTTACAATAGCCAAGTGCTGGAAGCAACCTCAGTGCCCATCTGTAAATGAGAGGATCAAAAAACTATGGTACATTTACACAATGGAATTCTACGCAGCAAAAAGAAAGAAGGAGCTCCTACCCTGTGTGACAGCATGGATGGAACTGGAGAGCATTATGCTAAGTGAAATAACCCAGGGGGTGAAAGACAAATACCATATGACCTCACCTTTAACAGGAACCTAATCAACAAAACAAACAAGCAAGCAAAATATAACCAAAGACATTGAAATAGAGAACAGGCTGACAGTGATCAGTGGGGAGAGGGGAGGGGATTACAGGGGAAAAGGGTGAAGGGTTTGTGGGAACAACTATAAAGGACACATGGACAATAACAAGCTGGGGTGAAAACAAGAGGGAGGTGGGGAGGGCTGGAGTGGAGGGGAGGGGTGGTGGGAAAAGGCAGAAAACTGTACTTGAACAACAATAAAAACAGTTAAAAAATAAAAATATGAAATCAATGTGATAATGTGACTACATTAACAAAATGAAGAATAAAAATCATATAATAATTTCAATAGATACACAAAAAGCATTTGACAAAATCCACTGTCCTTTTAGGACAAAAACACTAAACAAATCTGTTACATAGTCATGGACCACATCTCTTATGTTTCTGTCAATGACAGAACTCATACACCAAAGCGGTTCCATAAGATTAAAATGGAGCTGAAAATTTCCTGTCGTCTAGTGACGCTGTAGCACAACACATTACTCATGTCTGTGGTGATAGGATAAACAAACCTACGGTTGCATGAAAATACAGCACACATTACCAGGTACAGTACATAACACTTGATAGAAGTGATAAATGACTTGAAAAAAGTCAGCAGTTGATAAAACAATTATTTAACACATTTCTAATAAGGCTCACATAATAATGATTAGAATAAAAGAGTCTACTTACCCCACCCATTGTAATTCCATGAATAAATGCAACATATGGTTTCTGGCAAGAACCTAAAAGAAACAGAGCTGTAACTACTTGCAATGTTTAATAATAATTCTTTTTTGTTCTTCAAAAATTACAGGTCACATGAACTCTGAGTATTTTCCCAGAGAAATTTTTTTAAAGGTTATTTATTTATTTATTTATAGAGAAAGGGGATTGGAGGGAGAAAGAGAGAAAAACATCAATGTGTGGTTGCTTCTCACATGGCCCCCACTGGGGACCTGGCCCACAACCCACACAGGTGCCCTGAATGGGAGTCGAACCAGCAACCCTTTGATTCGCAGCCTGCACTCAGTCCACTGATCTACACCAGCCAGGGCATCCCAGGGAAATTTTTGCAAGAGATATCAAGGTAGACTAAAGGTATGGCTTGTAAAATGTTCTTTTTAAAACATCAGTCCATAAACAATCCTGATCATCTGTTCATTATAATTTAACAACTCAACACTTCCATGAAACAAATGAAAGCCTTGTTTAATTCAGCTGGTAAGAAATATAGTTAACTACTCTGTAAGCCACTGATGTTTATATACACAGTTGTATTTTAAAGAACATAATTTGTTTTCTAAACATCTAAAGTAGTAGCTGGGTCCAAATAGAAGTGTAGCCTAAAGGAAAAAGCATGGACTGGAAGTCAGACAGAAGCCCCAGACTGTAGTCTCAGCTTTGTCATTAACTAGCACTTCAACTATATTCAATAGACATATTGACACTAGGCATAAATATACATATTTACATGTGTGTATAAACACACATAAGTTACATGCATGTCATATTAAGTGCAGAGCATGTATATAATATATGTTTCCTCATCTATTACATGACAATATATGGACTCAGAAGCCTCTTCCAGCTCAAGAATTCTATAAACATTTACTCTGTTCCTTTTCCTTCCTACCCCCGCTGAGAGAGGGAATTGCTCACAATGTAACAAAAATGTCAAGAGCTGAGCTTCTGTTATAGTTTGTTGCCAATATTACTTCCTTACCAAAGATACATATAAAACTGCACTTTTGATCCATCTAGCACTTCTATAAATATTTTCAATTTACTGAACAGACTACCAAAGCACAAATCTAACTTCATATTCACAAGGACATCCATAGTCTTCAATTTTGAACTATAATTCCCTAGAAATTACATAAAGAAATTTTTATTTAATTAAAACAAATTTTTTATTGATTGACTTTGTAGAAAGAGAGGGAGAGAGAGTGAAACGTCGATTTGTTGTTTCATTTATTTCATGCATGCATTTATTGTTTCTTGTATATTCCCTGACCAAGATCAAACCTGCAACCTTGGTATACTGGGAATGATGCTCTAACCAACTAAGCCTCCTGGCCAAGGTGGAAAAAATTTCTCTATTGATTATAGACACATATATTTCAGATATAAAATATCAGAATTGATGTAAGACATGAAGCCAGAATTTGTCAAGTTCCTTATTGACTTAACTGTCATTGCAATGTACAGAAATATATTTATTTTTCTGACTATAAGACGCAACGTCCCAACACCCCCATATTTGGGAGGAAAATGCAGCAGCGATCCTGCTCCTGCCTCCTGTGATTCCGCTCCACCGCCACCTCCCCCCACCATGAGCCATGTCAGCTACATTTGGAGTATAAGATGCATCCGCACTTCCCTCCCAAATTGGGGGGCGGGAATGTGTGTCTTATAGTCTGAAAAATACAGTACCTTGAAGGCTTTCTCTCTGTACATTAGCAGTTTACCAAACTCTCTTTTCAAACTACTTAGAGCTCTGTTTTTTTCATCTCCTTTTGTTTAGTATAGTCTACACTGTCAAAAATAGTAGCCTGTAGCTAATATTAGCTATTTTTATTTAATTATTTATGATTAAATAAAAGTTAAACTTCAGTTTCTTGATCACACTCATCCATAGCCACATGTGGCTAATGGATGTCATATTGCACAGCACACACAGAATATTTTATCACTGCAGAAGGTCCTAATGGACAGTACTGGTACACATTTATAGAATGAAGAAAACATTCTAAGTAAATTTGATAAATACAATTTTAGACTTAAAGAAGTGAGAAATGTCCATTCAATTAGGCCACAAGCAAAAATGGGAAACAGCCTCTTTCTCCCATTCCTTCTCCAAAGACATAGAAATTCCAGAAAAAAAATAATGTATATCCAAGTTCAAAGCCATATAAGGGAAATCCCTACATGCCAGAAATAAATAAGAAACTCAAATCAATAGCTGAGTAGAAGCTATAGCCACAGATTATGAGTTTGATTTTTCAGCTGGGAATAAATTTTGGGCCACATATTTTATGCAATGAGCCACCCACACAAAGCTTCATGTTAGGAAGAACTATTCAATATGTAAAACATGACTAAAAACAAGTCATGCCAGGAGAAGAGAGAAAAGTCAGAGAAAGTAGATGCTCAAAACTGGATAACAACCACCTCCACCAGTGCATCTGAACAAACAAAACAAAACATCCCTAACAAATCTAGAATCAAAGTAACACCCATAACCTAGTAAAAAGTGTCTACCAAAAGATTACACTAAAGAATAAAATGCTTCTAAATGCTTTCGCATAGACATCAAAAATAGGACATTACAATTATTGAACATTATAAAAGAAGTCCTAGTCAAAATAACACAAGAAAAATCACAAACATAAAAATTGGAAAGATGAGAAAAAATTATGTGCACGTGGCAGAACTGCCTAGGAGAAAAGCCAAATCTACAGAAATACTGGAATCAATAAATTTCAGCAGGGTTACTGAATATAAGGACAAATATTAAAATCAAAGGCATTTCTATATGTCATACATAGTCAATTAGTAAATGTAACAGGAATATTACCATTAAGTAACAAAAAAAATAAGCTACTAAGAATAAAACTCTTTTAAAAAGGAAGATCTTCATGGAGAAAATCACAAAACATTATAAAAGGACATGAAAGTCAACCTGATGAAAATGTTCTAAAACTGGTTTATGGTGATGGCTGCACAAGTTTACTAAAAATTATTGAATTTTGCATTTAAAATGGTTGAATTTTATAGTGTGTGAGTTATAATTCATAATTTTAAGTCTTCTACATGAATAAGCAAAGATATGCCACATTCATGGGTGAGGAGACTCAATATAAGAAATGTTAATTTCCCCCAAATTAATAAAAAAAATCATTATCATTTCAATCAAAATCTCAATAGAATCTTTTGTGGAATCAGACAAAATAATTCTAAAATTCATATGGAAGCTCTAGAGTGCAAGAGCAACCAAGACAATTCTAAAAGAAAACAAGGGCAAATTGTCCTAGCTCATAGAGACATATATTCAAGCTGTAATAATTTTGACCCTGTAGTTTCAACTAACGTACAAACAAACAGATCAATGAAAAAGCAGCCCAGACACAGACCTGGTCTTATATAAGAACTTGATATATGACAAAGAAATTGTGGGGGTCTCTGCCCACAGAGCCCTCCCAGCCGCCACGGATGAGAATAAGTCTACCAAGACATGATCTTCTTGGGGAGGAAAGGTGGCCGATCTCTCAAAGGAGAAGGGCCAGGAATCTGTTTCTCAATGGGCTTTTATTGGGTTCAATTTGCACAGGAAGTTAGCTAAAGGGCTATAAAACTTTGGGAACCAAACTCATTTCATGCTTGGACCCTTATCAGAAAACTGAGGGCATTCTTAGCAAAGCATGTTTCACAGGATTTTATGCATTCTTTTTTAGTCCTGATTGCCCCGGCGAAACCTGCCCTTTCCAGCACAGGACTGCACCACCCTCTGTCAGTGTTTCAGGCTTAAGTCAGGCACAGTAAGTAAGGCAGCCAAGAGATTAGGAGACTTCTTGCAGACAGAATGAGGACTCAGGCTATGTCAAAGCCAAGGGACAAGGATCCATCACCCCCTTTTTCTATAGCCCCCCAAGTCCTTCCCTGGGAGCCCCTTCATGACCGTGCCTGTCTTAGGTCATTTCTCCCTTGAGGAATCTTACCTATCATTGGCTAACTGGTCATCTGCTCAGGGCCAAGCAGGGTGAAGTAAAGGGGGCAGAAGTGGCAGCCCTGCCAGGGAGAAAAGCTTTGTCTCCTTAGCGGCTTATGGTCCCAAGGTCTCTCACTCATCCTTAGCCATGGTGGGTTATAGCTTCTGAAACCAGGCAGGGCAGTTTCCAAAAAGGTATCATTAAAATTAGTGAGGAAGGGATATGCTTTTTAATAAAAGATACTGAAACATCTGGCTTTCTAGCTGGAATATAAAGGTTAGATGTCATGTGCAAAAATACTTCAAGTAAATTAAAGATTTGCAGTATAAAGAAACAAAATAGTCAAACTATTAGAAGAAAATATGAGAGAACATCTTAACTTCAGTATTAAGTGCTTTTTTAATGTAAAAAGCAGAAATCGCAAAGGAAAAAAATGGGTACATTTCATCCCATCAAATGTTGATAAACACTCATATATACCAAAAGGTAACTTAAAGCAACAGACTCAGAGAAATGGACTTATAGTAGGTATAATCTATAAAAATGAAGAATCGAGAATACTTAAAGACCTACAAAGTCAGAAAGACAAGAAATCCAAAAGAAAGATGAATAAGGAATAAAACTGAAAATAAAATCTAAATGCTAATTAACATAACATTCCATCTAGCCATTGTTCAGTGAAATACAAATTAAAGGCACAATAAAATATTAAACATGCAAGTTTAACCACACACAAAAAATGAAAAGGATGCGTAGAAAATAAAGTCTTGGAGTATAGTGAAGAGTTTGGAAACAAACTGAAGATGTATGAACTCTAAGATCCATTCATTCTGCTTCCATTATTTTCTAGAGAGACTTTTGCACATGGGCATGAAGAGGGCATATTTAAAGATACAACAATCTGTACTGGTAAAAATTTTGAAATCTAATTATCCATTATCTCAGAATAAATGATGTGGGATATATGCATAATACTGAATACTAAAGAACAGATACATTCCATGTTATTAAAAATTTAAGAAATGATATATACAGTAAGATAGTATTTATGTAAATTTCAAAAACAAAGTAATACTATTTTTGCTCATAAATATATGTAGTAAAAATATAGACTATGGTCTAACAGGATAAACTATAAATTAATGACAATGGTTGCTTCTGAGGAGAGATAATGGTTGTGGGGAGAGAAAGAAATGGCACTGAGGAAAGCAACAAGGTAAGCTTAACTATAATTTTAAAACTTGTAGAATTTCTTTTATATAAATTATAAAACTTCAAGCAAAAATAAAATACTGGTGTCTGTTCATTCTGTGCTGGTGGGTACACAAGTATTTATTATATTATGTCTTGTAATTTAACATTTGAAACATGTACTTGGTAAAACTAGTTTCACTTCCAATCAAACCTGGAACATCAACTATAAAGAAATTTTCATCCCAAAATTTTGCAAGTATTAGGAAATGGTATTCCATTTTACAGAGAAAACTGGGACCCACATTTTTCCCCCCAAGAAAGCCAGCCACAGGATCAGAATCACGTTTTCATATTGACTAAATGACAAATAGTTCGTAAGGATAGCCTAGTAATATTAATAATATTAAAGTGTGAACTGTTTTGGAATAAGCAATCAGAATAGACTAGTCAAATATATTTATACCTGAAACATATTATATAAAACATTAAATAAGAGTGTCTATTGATTGCATTTTTAATAATTCATACTGTGGCTGCTTTTCTTGATTCCATTTTCAAAGCTCTCAACAGAGTACACATACCAATGGCATTGTTTAGCATATATTCTTCTCTGAAGAAATTCTGAGATATCTTCTGGTTTCCCTTTACAATTTCTGAGATTGTTAGCAAAAAGAAAAAAAAAGAAAGAAGGATTACAATTTTTTTAAAAAGTGTTTTCCAGTCAATTATAATCAAATAAATAAATTTAAAATATTGTAATACTCAGTACCCGGAGAAACTCTAGAATGATCTGTTAATGTCTTGAAGCTGCCTATGCTACAGATATAATTAGCCCCAGATTCACAGTCCAATGTCAAAACTTCAAAGCAAAAATTCTTAAGAACTTCTTACAAGTTGTTACACTTAAATTAGAAGTTATATATTGCTACAAAATACATTTTCTTTTAACTATTTTCTGTAGCACCTGAATAAACATTTGCTGGATATACATTTTCTTTGGTAATACATCTTCATACAAAATATACCTACACAGAGAAATATATGTATTCCATGTAGTTAAATATTTGTCACATTCACTTCACCATGACACATTTCCTGAGCATCTACTGAGCGTCATGCTCTGTTTTAGATGCTGTAGATAACAAGATAGCAATATAAAATGGCTGCCTTGAAGTTCAGACTAATGAGAAAAAAGATTATTAAAATACAGTCTTAGTGCTATCCTCACTATAAGGCTGGGTGCTATGGAAACAGGCACAGAAGTTAATTAAAAGAAGTCTTCCCAAAGCAACTTGCAGCCCCAGCATTATGATTAGTACTGATGAACCAGGTTATGACCTAAATTTATTCTGTATACCTAATCATTACGCTATGGATTTGGAAACAGTGTTTACTCCTCATGACTGATTACAGACAGGACCAAACGGTTTGCCCAATATGTGATGAAGGAGACGAGAAGCCATCATATTGTAGCCCTCTGCGTGCTCAAGGCGGGGCTGTATATTCTTTGCTAATCTACTGGATTACATCAAAGCCCTAAACAGAAATGGTGATAGATACATTGCTATGACTGTAGATTTTATCAGACTGGAGAGCTACTATAATGATCAATCACCAGGGGACACAAAAGAAATTGGTGGAGATATCTCTCAACTTTAACTAGAAAGAATGTCTTGACTGTTCAAGGTATACCTGACACTGGCAAAACAATGCAAACTTTGCTTTCCTTGGCCAAGCAGCATAATCCAAAGAAGGTCAAGATCACAAGCTTATTGGTAAAAAGGACCCCCAAACTGTTGGATACAGACCAAGCTTTGCTGGGTTTGAAATTCCAGACAAGTTTATTGTAGGATATGCCCTTGACTATAATGAATACTTCAGGGATCTGAATCATATTTTTGTTATTAGTGAAAATGAAAAAGTACAATACAAAGCCTGAGAGTTCAAGATGAGTTTGGAAATGTCGGAAGTCCTACTGAAATCACCAATTATCAAATGTTCTAGTTCTGTGGCCAGTTGCTTAGTAGAGCTTGCTGGATGTATCTTCTCAGAATTTTATCTGTTTTGTATTTTAGGAAAGTACAGAGTGATTGAATATTGTTAATTATCTCACTGTGTGTTGAGGGAAAAAACAGTCAGGTTTTGTACCAATGACAGCATCTAAGAGATATTGTATCAGATAAACTATATGTCCTGGAATTATTTTAGTAGTGTTTCAGTATTAATTGTACTTTTCCACTAGTTCAGATTATTTTCAGTGACTCTTTGTCAAGAGTCAGTTCCTTTTAAATACAAATCAATTAATTCCAAAAAAAAACTTTTAAAAAAGAAATCTTCCCAGAAGACACAGTCTGAGCCAAATTTAAACAATAGATAGATATTTCCTAGACAATGATGGCGGCAAAGATTTGAGTAGAGAAAGGAGTACCTACACAGGCACACAGGCAAGGAGGAGTAAAATCAAGGAGAATGGTAAAAGGTGAGGCCAGAGAGGTATAATAATATAAAGGAAATACATCTTCTCAAAAATGTTGCTACAGCATACTACTTACTTACTGCTTGGCTTAATTAAAAGGTACTCAGTAAGTATCTGAATGAGAATTACTATCAAATGGTTTCATTTCTATTGCAATTGCCTATTGCAATTGAAAGTTCACATCTACTGTATTCTTACTGCAGTCAATGTCAATATACTATCAGACCATTCTCTTCCATATACATACTATAAGCATGTATGCCTTTTCCTATCTTTTAGCACTAAGAGAATTATCTATTAAAATACAAATCGAATGTATAATATATGCATGTTTCTTCTTTTATGAGAAAGAGTTACACAAAAAATTGTTGACTATTTACAGAGTTTTAGATTAACTCTAGCACTCTGATATCATCTTCCTATAAAATTTCCCAAATGTTGACTTCTTTTCCTGGCTTTTAAAAGAAAGATTTACCATCTTTTGTCATTCTGAAGCTCTCCCTGATATATGCCCCTCCCTCAAAAAAACCCTCTCATTTACTGTCTTTTATGCAGTCCTCATCATTACTTCCCAATTCTAAAAAGAAAGGAGTATAAATTGCATTGTATTTTGAAACTCTTTTACCTAGAAAATCTTCTTAAATTTCCTACTAATCTTATTCTAATCAACTGTTTCCATATAAATTAAAATTAAATGATGTTCATAATATCATTTAAAATTTTTTTGAGTGTCCACTCATCACCTTAAACTATGATCTTCAAAGAAACTAAATTTCCTGGAATTGAAGTCCACTGCTTTATTTCATGTAAACTAGAATAATTCTAGAATTTGTGACAGTATTTCCAAACATCAATATGAAGTTAGGCCTTTCTGCAAAAATAGCTCACAGTAACAAGAAGCTAAAATCAACACCTAAGGCTCTGCCCATCTTTAAATTGACAAAGATAATAAGCTGAGCTCCAAAGGAAAGGTTAATTCCAGGCTGAAAAACAATGTTTTAAAAATATTCATTTTGTGGGCAAATAAATGTCAAAAGCAATTCAGTTAACAAATCAATCTAAGCTATCAAAAAATGTTAAATTATAGCTTTAAGACTTAATTTTTTCTTTCAATTTAATACAATATTTGAAACTATGTCCTGAATGTCTTGTTTCTTCCTATTCCAAATGTAATGCTTTACAAAAACTTGTAAATTTAGTAACTAGATCAAACACGAGTGTCTTAACACAATACAAAACACAAATATACAAAATAAAAATGCAAGGAAAAACCATCCTTGGACCCTACCAACTCTATAAGAAACAAAATACAAAATGTAAAAGCAGTTTTTAGTATATATAAAATATTGACAACCAGTTGTGACAGTAAGTACATGATGTTGTTCCTGAGAGCAAACATTTCATCTCTTCTATCTTTAATAGCTAAAAGTGTAAGACAGATTGACCTAAACAATTAGAAAGGAGAATTAATCTCCTTATTTATATCATATTTATTTAAACATACATAATATATTAAAGATATATAGGAAAAAACTATAATTAAGTACATTCTGGCTTTAGAACCATGAACAGTGGGGAAGTACAGTCAAAGTCATGGAAATATGTGAGAGCATGTCATGCCTGGAGAGTGGCAAGTCACTCGCCCTGGCCAGGTTGTCAGGTTATGTGACATACTGAACTGCTTAATATCTGCTATTCTGAAATAGAAAGTGGACTCACATACCATAACTGGACAGTTTGTATGGGATGACTCAGGGAAAGAGACAAGATATCTGAAGGGCATATGTACAGTATTTATTTTATTTTTTTAATCATTTTTTATTTTCCAATTTAGTTGACAATCTTATATTAGTTTCAGCTGTATACCTCAGTGACTAGACACTGCATAACTTACTAAGTGATCATCCCGATAAACCTCGCACCCATCTGACATCTCACAGTTATTAGAATATTACTGACTATAGTCCCTACGCTGTCCTTTACAGCCCCATGACTGTTCTGTTACTAACAATGTGTATGTCTTAATCCCCTCACCTTTTCCCCCATTCCCCCAATCCCCCTCCCATCTGGCAACCATCAAAATGTTCTCTGTATCTATGAGTCTGATTTGTGCAGTTTTTTTTTAATTCACTCTTTCCAATTTTCCAATATAAACTACAAAAGGTAAGTCTTTAAATTTTTCCTTTTTCTAAGTTAACTATACAAGAATGTAACACAACAAAAACATTCTAAAAAGTAACACAAACTATGAAGTACTATAAAAAACACGTTAATATTTTATCTGATCTAATGAGGGAGAAAAAACTTTGGGTGAGAGGAAAACGGTTTTTACCTATGATATCACCCCCAGCACAAAAAGCCTTTGCACCAGCTCCCTTTATAATGATCAGGAAAGTTTCAGGATCTTGTTCCCACTTCTGAAAAGAAGATGGTATAAGCATATTATGACTACACAACTCATTAAACAAATATCCACTTGCACAGCTACACATATATACGTCTCTGTGAATAGACAGATACAGTATATGGATAGGCTACTTCTGCCCCACCCTATGTATACACCCATATACGTAAAGCACAGCTTTATAACACATATCCAGAAGAATGAATCCCAACTTCATTTTCTTTCCTGACAAAATTAGAGGCTATTGCAATAAAGTTGCTATATGATTGTATTCTATGATCCAAATTTAATGATGGTATCTGAAATCTTCGCCATGACAACTTTTAGACTAAGGTAAAAGAAAAAATATGGGCTTAATAATAGTACATACTACATAAGCTTAGAAACCCAGTGAACAAATCAAACCAAAGATTGTTGACAAACAGAGCAATAACCTTTTTCTACTGTGGTAACATAGGGCTCTTTCCTATTTATTAAAAAATTTTAAGTAACAGTAACATAGATCAAATCTTGAAGTAATGTGGGGTTGGTAAGGACAGCTAATAATTAAGTAGGATGAAAGAATCAAGAGCCAATGTCAATTCTAAAGTCTAGAACAATGGACCAATAAAAAATTAGTTAACAAGAGACAGAAATATTAACAAGGGCTCTATAAATTCTACATTTGAGAATAAAAATATAAATGCACAAGGAAGAAATGTCACTGGACAGTTATGGTTGTCCAAAAGGTTCATATATGCCCTAGCCGAGTAGCTCAGTTGGCAAGAGTGCCATCCTGATATGCCAAGGTTGTGGGTTCGATCCTGTCAGAGCACACACTAGCAGCAACAAACCAGCATCAATAAGCGGAAGAACAAATCAATGTGCCTGTCTGCCTGTCTCTGTCCCTTCCCCTCTCAAATCAACAAAATTTTAAAAAAGTACAAAAGGTTAATGCAATACTGGACTACACTAGTAGAAATCTGGCATTCTAACATGGAAGTTTCTTCTTTCTTCCACTCTGGCCCAACTCTAATCTGGAACACCTGGTTTATGTCTCTGTATCACTTTTAAAGATATATGAGGTATTCCAAACAGACACAGCAAAATGGGAGAGAGACTCATCAAATGAACAACTAAGAAATAGGTGACTAGGAGAGAACTAGATTTTGTGTAACATCTCTGTGGCTGACTATTAGGTACACTATTTTACTTCATCTTCACCATCCTATGATATATTATCATCCCTACTGCACAGCTGAGGAAAGACAGACACACAGTGACTGGCACTCCCAATCTACACAGTTAATAAACAGAAACCCAAGTTTCATACACAAGTAGTCCACTGCACCTGCAGTTCACATAGAAAAGCTATGGCCTTCTCTAATAAAGGCTGGCCAAAGAGTTAAAAAACAGTTGTCTTCAAATCAAGAAGCTGTCATGTGGAAGCAGATTAGATTTGTACATTCATACCCCAAGAGACAGAACCAGCATCACTGGTTAAAAGGTCAAAGAAATAAGGAGTGGCAGAACACCAGAAGAAACTTAGAGCCATGTACAAGTGGAAGAGGCTGTCTCATGAGGCAATGAACTCCCTTTCACTAGGGGTGCTTTGGGTTAACCACACAGGGGAAGGACTGAAGACTCAAGAATCGATGGGGCTTGGGAGCTGATCCCAGACAGTCCAATGGTGCTACAGGAGACAATGTCAGAAATGTACTATTAAGATATACATTTAAAATAATCCATACACTTGCTTTAGGAAAATTACAAACCTTTAACTGTGGATAAATTTGCCGGATCATATTCAGATTCAATGCATTTAGGTTCTTTGGTCTGTTCAGTGTTATCACTCCTGCACAACCTTTTCTTTCCAATAGTACTTCTTGTTCTGCATCTGTGTGGTTACTCATTCTCTGTGTAAACATATAACATTAAAATTCATTAAGTTTTTGTCACAAGCCAACATCAAAACATATACATAAAATATACATCTTTCACACAATGTTAATGGCAGCTAGTCAAATGAATAGCTAGTACATTTGACAAAGATTTCTGAAGATTCCAAAACAAACTCTACATACCTCTTAAATCTTTTAATTTTTATTTCTCAGCAAACTAAGTCAACCTAAACTATAAAACCTTAAATCCTCTAATTCATTACTGTATACCAAGCAATATATTAGGTACTTAGAAAGTAAAAATGAATAGAGAGCAAATAATTAATACTACAGTAGGTACCAACAACTTGGGGGGGAAAAAAAGATGATACTGGAACTCAGCCTTCATATGGATCAAGAAAAACGAGGGTAAGAATCCTAGAGAATAGAACATGCAAAAATATAGCAATAAATATTTGAAAATATTAAGATGTTAAACCTAAGCAGAATAAAGGCTGGTTGAAGAAATGAGTGATGGGTAAGCAGGAAGAATAAGTAGTGTAAAGCCAGATTATAAAACGACAGACTTATATTTCACATAGTTGTGAAGAACTTGCCTAGTATGTTTACATAGGGCCTCACACACCATAACTTAATCATCAGGCCTCACAGCTCATGTCATATAGTACTAATATAATACCTGGAAGTAACATGTTTTAAACTACACAGCCATTTCCCAGGGCTCTGCTATATACAGCTATCAGGGCTAATGGCACAACCTACTTAATACATTCCTTTAAGGACAATGCTTTAAACTTCACATGGGAATAACATACAATATAAAATTGAAAGCTTAAACTGGAAATTTTTAACTGGAGAATGCATTCTTATTAACAGAAATCTAATAAAACCTTAAAGTCCATATTTTGACAGCATTAAGCAGTATCTTTACATGTTTAAGTCCTCCATTATAAAATCATGTTGTATATTTAATGTTGGAGTTAATTTTACTAACATTAATTACCAGAAAAAGTAATAATTTATATTCACTTAAAGGGGTTACAAGAAAGGCTATTAAACAACAAAAAATAATTGCATCTTTTCAAATTAAAACAAAACTATAACTATTTTAAGATATATATTTTTTAAGATTTTATCTATTTATATTTTAGAGAGGGGAGGGGAAGAGAAAGTGAGGGAGAGAAACATCAATGTGTGGTTGCCTCTTGTGCCCCCCTTCCGGGGACCTTGACCGTAACCCAGGCATGTGCCCTAGACTGGGAATTGAACCCACAACCCCTTGATTCACAGGGTTCCACTCAACCACTGAGCCACACCAGCCAGGGCTTAAGACATATTTTTAAACAAATTCACAAGTATCAAGAAGCTTGATATCTAGAGTATAAGGAAACAGACATACTGCAGGAGCATAAACTACTACTATTATAGCCTAGGAAAAACAGCCTGATGACACATATTTTAAAAAATTTTATTTATTTATTTTGAGAAAGAAGGGAAGGGAAGGGAGATCAGTGTGAGAGAGAAACATCAATTGGTTGTCTCTTGCACGCCCCCACAGGTCCAGGCATGTGTCCTGCCCGGAATGGAACTGGCAATCATTCCCTTTGCAGGATGACACCCAACCACTGACCTACACCAGTCAGGGCTGACAACACATTTTTTTAAAGCATTATTTGAAACAAGTCAGATTTGTCAGCCAAAAAAAAAGTTCTGTGACTGTTTTAATTGAACAATTTAACATAAATTATCACCCAGTGCCAGAAGCAATCTATTAAAACTCTATTATTTGGTTTCAGCTCAGAAATATTGAGAGTAGAAAAGATTCTCCTTCTGATTTTATAGCAAGAAGGCAGGGAACTGAACAGACTACAAATTAATGACTTTTGGTGAACTCAATCAGAAAACTGTCACAGGAGCTAACAGGCGTCATAAACTCTGAACAGAGGTGCCTTCAGAGAGACAAAGGACCAGAATATTCGAACACCTCAGGCAGAAGCCTTTAGTAAAGTTAAGCAGAAATTTTGATTACTTGCTGGGGGCCAAGTGTGGGCAAATGTGATAGTATGAAGTTCCTGGGAGTCACAGTCAGGAAGAGTTCTCAATCTGGCTGGCTTTTCCTCTGGAATCCAATCAGGCTTCCCCAGGGAAGATTGGAGCAAGCTCCCCTGCATAGTGCTGGGTGGGGGAGGGAAAAAATAAATACAGCTAAATCCTTCCCCCTCATTTTCCATCCAAAACAAAAGGCTAAATATGCAGGGAAATGAGGGAGGCAATGGAGGCCTACAGGGGTGACATAGAAGGCCCAGATGGATGCCTACATATGCACTGGGCTGTATTACAGGACAGTAGTACTGAATCTGAGGAACCTGCCTGTTCACAGCAAGCTGTAAGCAAGCCTAAGCTCTGTCCCAGAGGGAGACTGTGACAAATGAATCTTAACTGAGCTACACATGTATGACATAACCTCACAATCACCGAAATGACTGCGGTGGTAGTGGCAGTATAGTCAACCTAATAATGATTTGATGGGAAACTGTAAGGATAAATACAAAATGAACTATAAAGCAGCATCGTGCTCTAGTTGGTAAATTTGTTTCTCATGGGGGGTGGTTAACAATTTTAAAACTGCTTTGCATGCATACTGGAATTCAACAATCAACAGTGAGAACCACTGTCAGGAGGACAGGTACACAGAGGCAAGTAGGGATGGCTAAAATGAATCCTGCCTTGTGGTACTAAATTAAAGTCAGAGACATCGGTATGAACTCATGACTCATGCTTATACACACACACACAGAACAAACACAGAAACAATTATAGACATGCATGTACATATGGATTAGGATATAGTGTGTATGTGTGCCGCTATACGTACATTACCCTAGCTCTATCCCCTAAGAGAAAGTCATGACACCCCAGTAGCAAAGAACACTCCCAGAGCTTAGCTCTTGATTTCTAAATGCCATTCACATATAAAGAAAACCAGGGCTCCTTGGAAAAATGGCTGATTCCATGGCTGGGATAGGGAAAACCTGAGAGGAGCACAAGCACATCTTCTAGTACCTTGTCTCCAAATTTCCCCTTTTTATAAGGACAACAGTCATATTGAATTACCCCAGCAATCCTTACTCCAGTATGACCTCATCTTAACTAACTAAATCTGCAATGAGCCCATATCGAACTTGGTGGAAGAAGCCATCTGTCACGTGCCCTGAGGTTCCCCGCACTTCATTGCTGGGCATGCCATGAACCCAAGGGCCTGATCACTCTTTGCCTGGGTCACTTTGCAGGGTTGTATTTACTCAAGCAACTGAGGAAAAGGTAAGGCCTGATTCTGGGACAGAGAGTAGGCTTGCTTACAGGTTGCTGTGAACAGGCAGGTTCCTCAAATTCAGTATTACTGTCCTGTAATATATAGCCCACTGCACATGCAGGCAACCATCTGGGCCTTCTACGTCACCCCCTGGGACTTGGGGAACATGGAGAGGCAATAAAAACATGATGTTCAATGCTGCTCATTGTGCCACAAATAGCAAAGTCCTTTGTCTCAAACTCAAGAGTTTCATGTCCTCTGCCAGCATGCATGAAATAGTAACAGGCTAACTACTAGCTTGTAACTGGGGTAAAATTGGACCCCAGACCCAAAGCTGTCCAGCTAGCCCAAAAGCCCTCCACTTGCCCCATTCCAATCACAGCCCTTTCCCCCCCTACAAAAGCAGTAACTGTCCTGATTTTTATAATAAATGCAAAATGTGCATCCATAAACATAATCTGCCATTTTTAAAAAACTGGATATATCTTTCAAATCTTTTAATCTATAGGTGCTCCCTCTATCACTTTGTTTTCCTTACAACTTGTTGGAAAAAAAACAGGCCATATAATCTGTAAAATTTCCCAGTATGGATTTGCCACATATGATACATATTTATTCTTAACAGCCATGTATTCTTACGTATCAATTTATCAGTCCCCTACTCATAATTTCCACTTTTTGCTATTACAATGATGCACAAATATCTTTAAGCACAGATCTTCAAGCACTTAGGCCCAGCATTTTTGCAGGACATTTACAGAGGGTCAGACTTGGAGTAAAGGATATTATAGGGATCTTCTACTGTTAATGCCACTAGAATGATGTAAATGAATGAATGAACAAACTTGTTCCTACTTCTAAAACTCATGTCCTTCTAAAAACCTTCAAACTACTGGTTCATTAATCAAAATCATGCATGCAAAGGTCAGAAGAGAAAAAAATGGAAATTTCCACTATATTTGTCATTTATGTGCATTAGTTAATTCTACAAAAAATTAACTCTCTTTTCAGAAAACATCACGAACTTTTAACTAAAAGCTAGAAAAGTTTCCTATGAAGAAAATTTATCACCTTAGGAAAGACACAGAGACTAGATTCAGAAATTAACTTCTCATACAATCCAAAGTATGTGTGGGGTGGAGGGACAGAAGGGGTAAGGAGAACAGAGAAAGGAATGTTTCTAGCCCAGAGCCAGAAAGATTTAATGTGAAAAATTAAGACTTTCTTAAATCTTTATTATACATCCAGAAAAGACAAGAGGATCACAGTTTATTTATATTTGTGAATACTTTCTTAAGCAATTAGAAAAAACTGGTTTTTAATCTATTTTATTGATTATGCTATTACAGTTGTCCCATTTTTGCCCCCTTTATTCTCCTCTGCCCTGTACTCGCATTCCCCCACCTCAGTTCATGTCCATGGGTCATACATATAAGTTCTTTGGCTTCTCCAATTCCCATGCTAGTCTTAAGCTCCCCCCATCTATTTTGTACCTACAATTTATGCTTATTTCCTGTACCTTTCCGCCCATTTTCCCCACTCCACCTTCCCCCACCCCACTGATAACTCTCCATGTGATCTCCATTTCTCTGGTTCTGTTCCTGTTCTCGTTGTTTGTTTAGTTTGTTTTTGTTTTTTTCAGGTTCAGTTGTTAATAGTTGTGAGTCTGTTGTCATTTTACTGTTCATATTTTTTATCTTCTTTTTCTTAGATAAGTCCCTTAACATTTCATATAATAAGGGCTTGGTGATGATGAACTCCTTTAGCTTTACCTCGTCTGGGAAGCACTTTATCTGCCCTTCCATTCTAAATGATAGCTTTGCTGGATAGAGTAACTTGGATGTAGGTCCTTGCCTTTCATGACTTCAAATACTTTTTCCAGCCCTTTCTTGCCGGCAAGATTTCTTTTGAGAAATCAGCTGATAGTCTTATGGGAACTCCTTTGCAGGTAACTATCTCCTTTCCTGTTACATAGTTAGGGGCAGAGCCTTAAGTATTCTCCAGGGTGGGGCAACCCACGTGGCTGCATTGTGGTGCTATATGTGGGGGAGGGGTCCCAGAGGGAACAGTGTTGCTTACTTGACTCTCAGCTGGCTTTCACTCACTTCCTCTGCTACCCACAAGCAAATTGGATCCTTCTGCTGCTGATTCCCAGGTGGGTGGGTTTGTGCATGTTCTGGGATTCTGTGGGTCTCTCCAACAAACTCTCCTATGAAGCTGGGAATTTCTCCCACCACTGCAACCCCCACATGTGTTTTTAGTCAGAGGTTTTGAGGCTTTATTTCCCCATGCTGGAACCCTGGGTTGTGCGGTCTGTCTTGCTCCCCAGTTTTTCCCCCCAGTTTATCTGCACACAAAAGTGGGACCACCCAGTCCACCAGCCACAGCCTCGCCCAGTCTGTCATCCGCCACCTCACTGGTGCAGGTCTTCCAGCCATTGCGTTACCGTGAGTCCTCTCCTCCCTGGCTGCATGTCTCTGCCCCTCCTACCAGTCTGGATGAATGTTTCTTTAACTCCTTGGTTGTCAGACTTCCATACAGTTCAATATTCTGGGAGTTTTGGTTGCTTTTTGTTTTTAAATTTGTTGTTGTCCTTCTTTTCATTGTGCAAGGAGGCACATTGTATCTACCTACGCCTCCATCTTGGCTGAAAGTGCAGAACAAACTGTTCTTTATTTTATTTTACCAGTTAAGGTTTCCATGGGTACTATGTTAAGCAGTTGAAAAACTTTTCACTTAATCCTCAAAACAACCCCATGAGTCAAGTACTGAGAGTTCCTTTCCAAGATATGGAAACTCAGGCCTGGAAAAGTTAGATTACTTGCCAGGAGTCACACACAGCTTTGGGACAGGACTAAGATTCAAACTTCGTTTATTTCATTTCAAAGTCCATGTTCTAACCACTATGCTTCCTAAACTGACTCTCCTAGTCATCTTCTTCAAGTTATATACCACATTTTGCCATGTATAATGTGCACTTTTTTTGCCAAATTTTTTGAGGGAAAAATAAAGATGCACATTATACATGAGTATAATGACTACATACCATGGGTATAATAATCCCATGTATAATGCACATAAAAACATGAGTGCGCATTATACACGGCAAATACGGTAATCCCACCCATTTTAACCCACTACAAAAGTCTTCTGCAGTCCTGCAATAACTGGGTGACCCATCAATTCCATCCATTCAAAGGACAAATGTGAAGGACACTTACTAACATGCCTGAACACCAAATACCACACAGCTCTGTGCTAAACTGAATGCGTGAAGTCCCCCCAAATAAAACCCAGGAGACACACATGACTTGGAATATCTGCTCTGCTGGAACATGGAACTACTCTGGCAAAATCCACAGCAGCATTTTCCAAAGTGTGCAAAAGAGATGTTTATTTCTGCTATGTCAAGGAGAAAATGGCCACTGGTCAAATTAGTTTGGGAAAAACTTAAAACAATATAAACAAATTTCACTTCTATAAGACTTTCTATCTTTGATGCGCAAATACACAATGGAAACTTTTAAAATACAATAAGCAGCAAATTTCTTACTTGATTAAAGAGGTTGTGTGTGTGTGTGTTTTCATGCACTATCTCTTGGGACTTATTTTGCAGACTACATTTTTGGAAAACACTTTACAGCCTTCATAAACATTCTGAGAAATGGCCCTTTCCTTTGAGGAAAGTCCAGTGCCTAATACATAGCAGGTATCTCAAAAATGTTTAGTTCGTTTAATAAATAATCCATTATTCTACTGATGCAGTTTTACTGTAACAGTGGCCTAGGACAAGCTTCACACTGTGGATACCCAAGTTGGAATCTTAACTAAGCATTCACCTTTTACTGTGACATCCACTGCCATTGAACAGGGTTGCGACTCAAAGACATGCCCAGGGAGGTATTCTACCATTAGCAGAACATGATTCTTTTGATACACTTTGCTGACATTCCTCTTTATCCAGTCTCATATCCTTCCCATTCCTAAGATTTTTACCAATTTCCAGACAACACTGAAGAATGCCATTTAAATTATTATAACACAAATATGACTCAAAGCACAATACAACCACAATTCTTAGCATCAAAAAAACATTTAATAAATGCTAATTACTCAAGCATCATTTGAATTATTTCACTCTAGGTCAGTAAATTCCTCTACATATCAATAGTTTAGGGTCCCTCAAATCATCCTTAGCTGTGCTATTCTCTCACCTTTTGTAAGGATATCTATTTTCCATCTACAATTATTACCTCTAAGTAGCCGAATCAAACCTGCACCTGTATCTTTACTGCTCCAGAGGCCCAGGCCCTTATTTCCAAATGAATGCCTACTACACAGGATTTTCTTATCACAGGAGTTAACTACAATACATGGCACCCAAAACTCAACTTGTTAAAAACCAAATTTACCAAAAATCTCCAACAAATCTGCCTCTCCTATCCTCTCCACTTCTCCTAACTATCTACAGTACTGCCACCAGTGACATATTTCCATCACTCTTCTCTTTATTGGCTGTATTATTAGAAGGGTCCCAGATGGACTGCTTCGGATACAGCCTCTCTGCCTTTAAAGCACAGTTGTAAAAGCCAACAATGGGACCTCCAACCATTCAGCCCTCAATCTTCATAAACCCATCAGCACTTAGACTTAACTGAGAAACACTGTGCCGGAGGCTGTAGAGTGAAGTAGGTTCAGTCTATGGAGCCAGATGGCCTGGATTCAAATTTCACCTCCTATTTTTCAGCTGTATGACATTAGGGTATATTACTTAGGCTCTCTGTCCCTCCTCCATGTCTAATCCACTAAATAGGAATAAGGCCATAATCCCTTCATCAAAAACCCTTAATTCCATATGTTTCAGAATTCAGAAAATTTTCCAGATTTTGGAAAGGTAACAAAGTACATTTTAGGTACTATATGAGACATCCCAAGATGAGTGAGTCAGTACACTCTAATCAAACACTTCCGCACCAAACTGTATACATTTGCACTAGTTAGGTTAAAAACAAAAACAGCTTCAGGTCATATTTTGTCACTAAAAGCAATTACCACAAACTTTTGGTTCTGAGGTTTCAGAATTGCAGATAGAATCAACTCAGCTAACACATATCAAGTACTTAGAATAGCACCTGGCATGCAGTGAGTACTACATCAGAGTAACATGTCGTTTTTATATGCGAGGTACTTTTCAGGCTCTATAAAGGTTCCTTAGTCTGCTCAGGCTGCTATATCAAAAATACCATAGACTGGGTGGCTTACACAACAAAACATTTATGTCTCACAGTTCTAAAGGCTGGCAAGTCCAAGATAAAGGCATCTGCATATCCGGTGTCTGCTGATATCTCATTTCCTGGTTCATAGATGGCAACCTTCTCACTGAGTCCTCCTTCACAAGCAGTAGAGATGGGAAGCTCTCTCGAGTCTCTTTGTAAGGACACTGATACCATTCATGAGAGTTCCACCCTCCTGACCTGTCCACATCCCATAGGCCTCCACCTCCAATTACTATCACAATGGGGATAGATTTCAACATGAATTTGGGGGTGACACAAACATTCAGTCTATGTAGAGAGATATAAATATGAATAAAAATTGTTTTCCTTGCAATGTGATAAAGACATAAGCTCTGGAAGGGAACTATTAGTACAATAGTAGTTAACATGTATAAAATTATTATATACCAAGAACTAGGCTAGATTTTTAAATGAAAAAATCTATTCATAAACACTCTAAGGTGGACATCATTATCCCCATTTTATATAAGTCAAAAAGGAGGGTGAGAAAACAAGTAATCTGCCCAAGGTTAAGTAGTGGACCCATTAAACCAGGCATTCCTATTCAAACTTGACTATCCATGCTCTTATCCACAACCCTATGCCACCTCCTGCAAATTGTATTTGTCAAGTCCAGACACTATAAAATTGGGAGCCATGATATGCCAAGGTCAATGACACCTGCCAGTATTTCTCTACTTCCCAAACAATGACATTTTAAGTTAGATATCATAATCTAATAATGCCAGCAAAACAAAATACAAACTTACCAAATGATGCAGTGTGATATTAATCCTTTTGAAGGAATTAAACCTGAAACAAATGTAGAATACAATGAACAAAGTAATGTAATTAGTTGTGTTTCAATATATAAATACTTACTCCCGTTTACTTTTGCCTCTTCTAAAAAGTACAAGAACAAGCCCTGGCTGGTGTGGCTCAGGGGATTGAGCACAAGCCTGCAAACCAAAGGGTCACTGGTTCCATTCCCAGTCAGGGCACATGCCTGGGTTGCAGATCAGGTCCCCAGTAGGTGGCATGCGAGAGGCAACCACACATTGATGTTTCTCTATCTTTCTCCCTCCCCTCCCCACTCTGAGTAAATAAATACAATCTTTAAACAAATAAAAAAAAAACACAAAGTATTAGAACAAAAAAATTAGAAAAAAAGGTTTAAGTAGAAGAGGGCAGTGAATCTATTCTGTAATAGTAGAGGAAGTGGCTTACTTTTAAGTTAAAACAAGATTTAAGTCATCCAATAGGATCCACTATTAAATTGATTCAGAAAAAGGTCTCTCTGCATCCAGATACATCCAGATGTCCGGCAGCAAACATTTCATCACCACTAAAATAATGACTCACTCATCAGAAAGGAACAATTCAGTGAAGAATCTGAGAAAGAAGGAAGCAACCTCAAGGGGTAGTCTTAGCTCCTTGACATTTAAGATGATACTGTCAAGTCTTAAATCAAAAATTACTTTTCTAACCTAGGTCAAGTATAATTCCCAAATACACACTCAACAGAGGGAACAGGCATCACAGCAGGAATTCCTGATTAGCAAATTAGTTTAGCTTGCTTTTTATAACTTATGTTAGGAACTGTGAGGGGCTAGAAAGAGCAGAAGGAACAAAGAGTAAATGAACCTTTTTGAACTTTGCCAAAGCCATAAGGCAAGACACTAACCTACAATCTCATTGGTCCCTACCTCGAGGCTTTGAGTGTGGTGATTTCAGGAAACCCATTTAGCCAGCACCAACCACAGGATGAACAGAGAGTAGACCCCTGTGGCAAGTCCCAGGTTATCTTCCCAAACAAAAGAAATTGGGTCATACAACTAGAAGCCAAGAAGTAAAACATCGCTCACTATTTTTAACAATAGGTGTAGAAAATAGACCTTGCTCCAGTGACTCTAGAGGACAATGTCAATCTCAAATTACAGATCCCCAAAGGGTATCAACACCCTCTCTTAAGTGGAACAAGGTGGGGACTATGAGATACTGTATGACCTGTGACCCAGCAGCATATCTCTTAAGGCATTTTCTCCTTTGTACTATAGTATAGGCATGGACTGCAAGGTTCTGGAGTTGCCCAGGTTGAGTGATGAAATCTGGGCTGTTTCCTCTTCATCTCCACCAGATGGCAGTTTTGGAGCCAATAGGAAGGAAAGAGCAGGCCATAATTTCAGAGTTACTTGGGGACTCAATGCTTGAAATACTTGAATATGAGTATGCTGAATAAGAAATAGAAGCAATATGACTATGCAAAATCTGACAAGGCTCTTAGTTTTTTTTTGATTTGAGAGAGAGAAACATCAATTTGTTGTCCCACTTACTTATATATACTCACTGGTTGCTTCTTGTATCTGCCCTGGCCAGATCAAACCCACAACCTTCGCATTTGGGAGCAATGCTCCAACCACGCTACCTGGCCAGGGCCAGTTGTAGTTCAGTTTGTTTTCTGTTTTGATCCAGAGATTTATGTGACCTGTGAATGCCGTGCTCTGTGTGTTGTACTTGTATTTGGTAGGTTTTTATTAACTTTCGAGTGAAATAAAATTCTGTCTCACAAATAAAACTGGGACTTGAAGCCAAACCTGTTTTTCTTGCTGTTTACTCTCTAAAGTGCATGAAATTACCAATCTGGCTGCACAGTCTTTAACCTTGAACTGGCATTTTGGCACTGACCTCATTAAGGTATTCAAAGTTATTCTGGTTTAAAGAAAAAGGACACATGGACAAAACCAAATAGGGGTAGGACCAATGGTGGGAAGTGGAGATGGCTGGGGTAGGGGGCACTGGTGGAGGGAAAATGGAGACAACTGTACTTGAACATTAAAAAAATGGGAAAAAAAGAACTTAGCACTTACATTTTTTGATACTTAAAACTTCCAAAAAAAATAAAATCAAGTTATGTTGAAAAAAGCTGTAGAAATGGTGCTACAGGGTAAGTATAGTTCAGATTTTAAATGTCTACGTGAAAACCTTATTTAGAAAGCATCCCTAACTGTCTTCTCTGCACTGGGAGCAGCTCTTCTGCCACAGCCCATCCCTCATCCCCTGAAAATGCACATCGGTGCCAAGTTTGACTCCACCCCCTCCTTGGTCAGGAGCACCTCAGCTGTGGAGCCGGTCACTGTTTGCAGTGGTGCTAATACGGCCAGAGACACCGACAGATAAGAGCCTCAGAGCTTGGCGGCCCCACATCCTCCAGCCTCACTTATTTCCAGCCACAGCTTCCAAATCAATGCCATTTCAAGGGACATCGACACAACAGCCAAGCTCAGCGAGGTTGGAGCTGCCAGAGTAGGCCTGGCAGGCTCTGGGCAGCAGTGGGAACTGTTTGGAAGCCTCATCCTTGGTTATGCCAGGGCCCCTTCTCAAGCAACAGCTCTTTTCCTACGCCATTCAGGACTTTGACCTCTTAGAGGTCATGGGGCTCTTTGCCTGATGGTGGCCTTTCTCATCCTCTTTGCCATGTGAAGGAGGCATCTCCACCTCCCACAGTTCTTTCTCCCATATCTTGTATGTTCCTTTTCCTATAACTCCCCAGGCAGCTTGGAGAAAGGGGTAGGTTCACGGTTTGACAGAGGGAAGATACATAAATACTGTATTAATAAGAAAAAAGAAAGAAAACATCCCTAAGTAAGGTAGAATCTATCACTTTAATTTTTATAAAGTACTGATTTTAATGACAACTTGTCTGTGCGTTGGAATCATTTGGGGATCTTTTGGGGGAGTGTCAAACAAAATACCTATGCCTGTGTCCCATCTCCAGAGCTTATGATTTAATTGGTCTTGGATGTCACCTGTGCCTTGGCATGTTTGCAAGAGTCTCCAGGTGCTTCTGATGTGCATACAAATTGTGGAATCCCTGGACTAGAATGTTCACTTGAGGCAAGCAAGGTGTATTCGAAATATGCTAATCCAGGAATGAGAGGCATGACTGGCTTAAACCAATTAGTGATTTCCCTGCCCCCTTTTTATGTAGTACTGATTAATTAAAATATAATGTAAAAAGAAAGTAATATAAATTTTGTAAAATTGGATTACAAATTTTTATTAAAGATTTTATTTATATATTTTTAGAGAAAAGAGGAGGGAGAGAAAAAACATCAATGTGTGAGAGAAATATCGATCAGCTGCCTCTCACACACCCCTAACCAAGGACCATGCCTGCAACCCAAGCATGTGCCCCGCCTGGGAATCAAACTGGTGACCTTTCAGTTTGTGGGATAAAGCCCAACCCCCTGAGCCACACCAGTCAGGGTAAATTACAAATAATTTTATAAATTCAGTCATCTAAGATGTGGTTAAAAATGGTAACAATAGTCATACTGCCCCTTTTTTTTTTTGCATGCCTCATCAACACTACAGCCCCTCAAATAATCTCAAAGTATCCTTGAAAAAATCAATAAATTGGCAAGTTTTCAGTTCTATCAAATAGTCTATGTACCTACACATGTGCACAGTGTTTACCAAGTTGCTGCTACTGCTTCCAGCTTTGACATTTCCCCATACACCTTATTCATTTTTGTTTAGCATGCATGCCAGTATATTCTAACTACAGTTATTTTCATATGCATCTCTCACTGTACTCTTGAGTTTCTCGATGGCAAGAGTGATGTCTTTGGGGGAACTTTTTTAAAAAGGCCAAAAACAAAGATACAATTTGATGAGTTTTCACAAACCAGACAGACTTATTTTACTGGCACTTGGATCAAAAATCAGGATAGCACCAGCATCCCAGAAGCCCTTCGCATACCCCTCTAGTCACTACCCTTTCCTATGTTCTTTTTACTTTCTTATTTAATTATGAAGTTCTTAAATGTGCTATTTTGAGGTCTGTATCTCAGTGAGCTCTTCACTCAGTGTTGCCTCGAGAATGCCCCGTCCCAGCTTCCCCTACTCTCCACCATTCTAACTTGTTACTGCTGATCACTCTTGCCAAACACGTCTGTATTCCTAGCCTCACACTTTTAAAACAACAAATTCAAAAGTGTACTGTACTTACTGTTCTGTAGCCTGCTTTCTTTTTGTATCTTCTGTCATGACTATTTTTCCATATCTTTCATAGTATTTAAGTATTTTTAAATAAATACTTTATTGGCTGTGTAATGTTTGTGTATAGATGAATTTTTAAAATATTACTATAGCCCTGGCTGAGGTGGTAGGGTGGTTACAGCATCATTCCATAACCAATGGGTTGCAAGTTAGATTCCTGGTCCAGGCACATTCCTGCCTGGAATGCAGGTTCATTCCCCAGTCCAGGCATGTATGATGCCCAGCCTGGGCATGTACAGGAGGCAACCAATTGATGTTTCTCTCCCTTCCTTGCTTTCTAAATACAATAAAAAAATGTGCTTGGGTGAGGATAAAAAATAAAATATTACTGTATTGTTAGACATTAGCTACTAGTTTACTAGTTCACTTGATCAGATTTATTTCCTTCAGGTTATGTGCAAATTGGCTGCTTGGAGCAGTACTCAAAAGTGTGGTTTCTTGACCAGCACCATCAACATCCCCTGAACACCTGTGAGAAATGCAAACTGTTGGCCTCACTCAGACCTACTGAATCAGAAACTGTGGGTGAAGCCCAGAAATCTGTTTAACACACCCTTCAGGTGATTCTGATACATGCTAAAATTAAAAACAGCTGTCTTGGAAGGATAAGAAACTTACTGTAGGAGATTTTTACAATTATCCAATAAAATACATACAGGCTTACAAAATTAAACAACTTTTCATGAAACTGTTTAAGAAGCTAAATTGTTGGGAACCACCCTGCCTGGTTTCAGAAGCTGTAACCCCCCATGCCTAAGGCTGAGTGAGAGACCTTGGGACCCTAAGCCACTAAGGAGATAAAGCTTATCTCCCTGGCAGGGCTGCCACTTCTGCCCCCTTTACTTCACCCTGCTTGGCCCTGAGCAGATGACCAGTTAGCCTAGACAGGTAAGATTCCTCAAGGGAGGGATGACTTAAAACAGGCACAGTTACAAAGGGGCCCCCAGGGAAGGCCTTGGGGGGCTATAGAAAAAGTGGGTGATGGACCCTCACCCCTTGGCTTTGACATGGCCTGAGTCCTCATTCTGTTTGCAAGAAGTCTCCTAATCTCTTGGTTGCCTTACTTCCCCTGCCTGACTTAAACCTGAAACAACGACAGAGGGCAGTGCAGCCCTGGCAGGAACCCCTTACTGCCTGACAGTGATTGATGAGCTTTACCTGTATTCCTGTGCAAACTGAACCCAATAAAAGCCCATTGAGGAAAAAGCTCCGGGACCTTCTCCTTTGAGAGATCAGCCACCTTTCTTCCCCAAACAGATCATGTTTTGGTAGACTTATTCTCATCTGTGGCAGAAGGGGGGAAGGGGTGGCTCTACCGGCAGTACCCCCTCCACACACTAAATGAAGCTTATGCAGCAGAAGTAGGCAAGGTATTAAACAGAATGTGAAATGTAACTAGAGCAAAAAAATCAAGTACAAAGCAAAATAATTCACGTATGAACTGATGAAGCATAGCAGTGGTGATGACAGAAATGATTTTATTAAGAGTTATTATGAAGTAAAAATTCAGTAAAAAAAGAATTATGCCAAAAACTACTCCCAGATTTCAAGTCAGGAAAATATAAAAAAGGTTATAACTGAAGACAGATTAGGCAGGCACATTCAACATCACTGAGGCAGCTCAATGAGGAATAACTGAGAAATAGACTGCAATCCAAAACTAGTGGCCTGGAGTCAGTCTGGGTCTATAAGTGTGTTTTTTTTTTTGGTCAGCAATGTTTTAAAACTAGAATACAAACATTTAAAAATAAATATTCCACCTAAAAATGCCATTTTCCAGCCTCCCAGAAAAATTGGTAGTAATGGAAACCCCAGGTCCATACTTTAGAGTGGCCACAATGCCTGGAATTGAGGAGCTGCCTCCTTTAGACAGAGTGCTGCTTCCATCCAGCCAGCAACACTCAGTGCTTCCTTCCTTAGGCTCTGCATGTGGGTGACTCCCAGCATTGAAAAAACACGGCAGAGAATCAAATACTGAGCCTTCAGAAACAACTACATAGAAGTAAAATAAACAGGCAGCTCAAGAAGCAAGAACCAAAACAATGTAGTTGAGAAGAGAAGATGGAGAAGGCAATGAATACTATTAACAACTTAAAGATGAACCTCTTTGAAGAAGGACCCTGAACCTGTCTTCCTTTCTAACCCTGGCTCTCTCATAATTCTACTTTTCCTTTAAGACATTTATCAGAGTTGATAAGTGTTACTAAGTATTACTTTTGTTTAAATATTTTCAAACTTCAAGGGTCTTACATAAGAAACAATAAGAACATCAAGTAGTCCAGGTTGGCTACAGTATAATACAGGGGTGTCAAACTCATTTTCACTGGATCCACATCAGCCTTGTGGTTGCCTTCAAAGGGCCGAATGTAATTTCAACTCCTTAACAGTTAAGGAGTAGTTACATTTATACAGTCCTAAAATTATTACTAATAGCCATTACCTAGAACAGTGCCTCCCAGGAATAAGAAAGAACATAACATAAAGTATTGCTGAATTCATGAAGTACATTGGGCCATATCTCAAAACCCAGGCTGGGAATTTTTTAGTTAATTCCAAAGGAAGGAGTGCACCTTATCGAAGGGCTTCTGAGCAGAGGACTAGCAGGTGCCAAAGAAAACTTTACCCAAGATTAACAAGGCAGTCATGTGCAGATTCAAAATGGGAAAGATAAGTCCACCAAATTTCTGGAAAAAATTGACTAGTGATATATTTGAGAGGATTGCTCAAATTCTAATCAGCAAGAAGAGATGAGGATCTGGAACGTGGGAGAACTCAGACAACTTCAGGAATCTAGAATGATAATGCCAAGAAGTTGAACGTGCAGATGCTGAATAAAGGTTGTACTTTTGTGCAAATTTATAATGTGTTAGTCAAAGTTCATTTAGTTTTTTTTGTATGGTGGCTCTAGTAGTGCTTAGTTGTCTTTAACTTCATTCGAAACAATTTTGTTAGTCTGTATTGTGATAGCTGTCATATATATCAGCATGCATTTAAAGAACTTATCAAAATTGGTGAATTTTTGTACAGCCATTTTAATATTAAGGATGGAAGGAAATGAGCAGTATTTTTGGCATTTTATGCTTTATTATTTCAATAAAGGTAAAAGCACAACACAAAAAAATATGCAGTGTATGGAGAAGGTACTGTGATCAAACATGTCAAAAGCATGTGACATGATATGACAAACATGTCATAAAGTTTCATGGTACTATTAAGATTTTGGCCAAATAATTCTTTGCCACAGGGCTGTCTTACGCACTGAAAGATGTTTAGCAGCACTCCTGGCCTCTACCCACCGGAAGCCAATAGTGGGAGATAGTTGACATACTCAAAATATCAAATCCATAAAGTTATTGGTGAAAATGAAAATGTCTTTAGTTAATGGAAAAAACTACACAGACTTTTTGGCCAACCCAATATTTGAAGTGCAAAATTAGGCAAATAGGTGGTTCTGACTAGCACTAAGATCTCAGGATAAATCAAGCTTAGAATATACAAATTTGAGAGTTATCTTTAGAGAAAGGTGCTTTATTTGGGAACAGTAACAACAAAAAATGTCCAAGGGCTGAAAGGACACTACCTCTAGGTAAGTAGTGGACAGTGGTAGGAGGAAATCAAGACCCAGCCGGGGAATAGAAGCAGACCGAAGCTCTGAAGAGGGATTACCCAACAACATCAACCACAGCACAGAGACCATATTTTTTCTTGGTAACACTCCCTGTGATACCCTATTTCTTAATGCATTTGTGGGTTACACTGCTATAGTCTGAATGACCTTGGAATCCGCTGTCTGCTTGGCTAGGATAATATCCACTCCAGGGCTAAAGCCCCAAAACTACTCCAAAACTCACCTAGTCCGTCTGCACCTTGAAATGTGGGGTGGAATCAAGCCAACCTGAACTCTGGAACTGACAAAATTATTTCCCAAGTCAGTTAATTTTGTTAATAAATGTGACTTCCCAATTTATTTCTCAAATAATTTGGCATTTGCCCACAAATTCAAAAAATCAGCAGCAATGGCATGTACTGATTCTCTTAGTACCAACCAAGTCTCTCTCTCTCTCTGTGAGCTGCTTAGAGGCATAGGCACCACTAATTTCAAGGTATTTTTAAAGGAAAGCAATTCTTCGATTCCTCTTCAAATATTTATTGAGAATCAGGTCTGTGGATACAATGTTATAAAGCAACAACCACTCCTCTTAAGTCAAAGAAACATTCACATTCCCAGATATCTCCCTCCCTCAAAGGCTGAAAACCCAGGAATTTCAGCTGCTGAGGACACACGATGGATGGTATTGCATGGGGGCAGACAGTAGGCTTCAAGACTCAGGGTGCAGCCTAACTTCCTAAAATGACGGCTCCCAGATGTCCTCAGCTAGCTCAGGCTGCACAGAGCAGCACTCCCAAAAATTACACACAAGGTTTGCACACCGACTCCACCAACCCACTTTCTGTGCCCGCCACACTGGCCTGGAACCCCCAGGCACCTGTGTTAACGCTTGGACCCATCCGACAGAGCCAATCTATCAAGTCATACCTAGAGCACAGGTGCAATCACTAGCAACGCACGTGCGTTTTGCTAGCTGCACAAAACAGGACACGAAATTCCTCCAGGCTGAAACCCTATGTGCCCCCACAAACTACACTCAACTGTTAAGAAAGGGAAGAGACTGGGGTCAGAAAGGAAAGAAAACCCTGTGGGGTCAAGGCTGAGTGAGAACCAGAGTGGCAGAAACAGGAGATGCTCCAAAGAAGTTGCCATAGGAGGAAGGGCGAAACACGAAGTGGGGCCCGGGGCGCTGAGACCGAGACAGGACTCGAGTCTGAATGTTGTGTCCCCAAGGGTAACTCGAAGCTTCAAAGCCAGGCAGTTCCCAGTCCCGACACTTTTTCATCTCCGCGAGCGCAGCCGACGGGCCTGCTCCAGAGCTCGCTCTCTTGTTCACTCACTCACCTAGCAAAGAGGCCCGACATCTCCTGCTGCCTAATCACCAAGCACTCGAGAACCAAACCATCCGCGACTGCGCACCCAGCTGGTTGCTGACGCCTCACGTCAGACCTGCCCGGCGCCGCCCTAGCATGGCGCCGCCAGAAACAGATGACAAGTCCTCCAAGGGACCAGAGCGGCCCAGGGAGAGATTTTTACGCTACGGCGCCGAGGGGCGGGGCGAGAGAAATTGCGTGAAAGGACAGAGGGCGGGAGACAGGGCATGGGAATGGGGGCGCTGGAGCGGCGCCTGGGTGGGCGGTGGAGCGGCGCCTGGGTGGGCGGTGGGGCCGACACGGGGGCGGGGCCGACACGGGGGCGGGGCCGACACGGGGGCGGGGCCGACACGGGGGCGGGGCCGACACGGGGGCGGGGCCGACACGGGGGCGGGCTAGAGCCGCAGGCCGAGAGAGCCGACTTGTGCTAAGGGAGAGAAAAAGGATTCTCTTCCAGAAGTTCTGTCTAAAAGATTATAAGTAGTCTACATAGACTTGGCGTGTTTAATTTTTCTAAAGGAAATTGGCATGACAAAGCCTTATGGAACTTTAATCTTTTTAAATTAAAAATGTAAATTTAATATTTTCTTTCAAAACTCAAACAGATGAACCAGTAACAGAAGGACATTGACATAGTGTATTCCTAATCCAACACAGAACTCCTTTCACGTTAGGATTGGGATATTTCCAGCTTGATCCACCCCTCTTCTTCAATAACAGACAAGCATTGTCTCATTAAAAGCTATACAGTATATATGTCTTCACCAGCTAAACTACAAGTTACTCTAGCTGTGCAGTGTAATTATTCAGAAAGTAGCTCACTTTTAAATGAAAACAAGATTTAACTCATCCAGCAGGATCCACTATTAAATCGATTCAGAAAAAGGTCTCTCTGCATCCAGATACATCCAGATGTCCGGCAGCAAACATTTCATCACCACTAAAATAATGACTCACTCATCAGAAAGGAACAATTCAGTGAAGAATTTGAGAAAGAAGGAAGCAACTTCAAGGGGTAGTCTTAGCTCCTTGACATTTTAGAAGAGACTGTCAAGTCTTAAATCAAAAATTACTTTTCTAACCGAGGTCAAATATAATTCCCAAATACACACTCAGCAGAGAACAGGGAACAGGCATCACAGCAGGAACTCCTGATTAGCAAATCAGTTTTGCTTGCTTTTTATAACTTATGTTAGGAACTGTGAGGGGCTAGAAAGAGCAGAAGGAACAAAGAGTAAATGACTCTGTCTTTTTGAACTTTAGATTCCACAATGAGATACCATCTGTATCTCTATCTGCTATTGAAAATGGGTAGAAGGGCAAGTGACTGGAAAAACCCCTCTGGGACCAATAGAGGAGTGCTAGAGTGAGAACCTGAATGAGGCGATTGAGACAGCCCTAACCTACAGTCTGATGGGAAGAAACGGCTTGCATAACGATACATTATTCTCACAGGTAATTACTGTGACGGAATATTAAATTCAAGGTTTTCACTTAAGATGCCAAGATCTGATAAATATCAGCGATCAAATGAGCTGTGAGATAGACCACAATGCAGTTTTCAAGGGATGTATTAACAAGTTTAGTAAATCCTTAAACCTCTGACTCATTTCAAGGTGGGGAAATTAAAAATGTTATGAAGATGATTTTAGAAATAAGAATTTCATAGAATACTGTGGATATTCTAGCTAAGAACTTTGTAGAAAGTGTCACTAACTGGGATTTGAAGGACAATTCATTGTTTTTATTTGCAATTCAGTTTTTTAAGTTATAGGACAACACTGTTTGACATCACCATCTGACACTGCCAGAATCTCTCATCCTGTGTACACAATAAACAAACTAGTCATCTGATCCAGCATGTTTTACTGGAAGGAGCTTGCCTCAAGATTCTTCCCCATCCACCTAACTTTGTGTGTGTGAAACCTGCGTCACACCAGGCCTCCAGCTTCTTTTAGCAGCCCTGGGCAAATAATGTAAACCAAGACCTTTTTCAAAAGTGTAGCACTTTGAATTAAGATTTTTACTTGCAGACAACCCACAGAATGGAAAATATTTTTGCATATGATATATTTGATAAGGAGCTTGTATCTAAACTACATAAAGAACTATTACAGATCAATCATAAAACAGATAAAGTGCCCAATTAAAAAATGGAGAACAGGGTCGATGAGGCAGCTGTAGTGGCAGCTCAGCAGGTGGGTTGCCAGAGGTGAACGACTGCATCATGGAGAAGATGATCATGCTCAAGTTCAAGAATGTGGCCACTGGAAACAAACCAGAAGCTATAGAAATAACATTCGAAGATTTTGATGGGGTCCTCTATGATATTTCAAATCCTAACAGTGGCAAAGCAAAAGTGACGGTCAGGAACTTCAGGCAAATGGTGCTGATGAGTTATTAAAGAGAGTGTATGGGACTTTCTTGGTAAATCCAGAACCAGGATAGAATGTCTCTTTGCCATATCACCTTAAAAATCTGCCTGCACCCAAGAATTCCATCATGCATCAGGGTGGCATGTTGAAACGAAATCATTTTGACTCTGTCTTTGAAAAATACTTCCATTTCTAAGAAGGGGGCAAGGAAGGAGAGGGCAGAGCAGTTAGTCCCTATACAAATAATGAGACCATGTATGTTGAGTCTAAAAAGGACAGAGTCACAGCAATCTTCATCATAGTGTTTAAGGATGACAGTGGTCATTTGGAACAGGAGTCCAAAGAAGGACACAGAGCCAGCCACAGTGCCCCTGAGGTCCTCTTTAGTCACAGGAACCTCCTCTGGAGCTGTAAGACACCAGTGCTGCTGTGGGTGACAGCCTTCGTGCTGTTCCCTCACCACACCAGTGCCAGTGCTCGAGACAGCACCATCAACCTGATCCACACATTCCGAAAAACTAGCTGCACTACCCAAATCAGGTGGTCTAAAGCCAATACTCACACACATCTGTGGGCAAAAACATCCCAATTCCTCAAGGTGCTAAACCCTGTAGACCCAGGTGCTGAGAAAATAGAAATGAAAAAAATCATGGGGAGGATGTTCTCATCCCGCTAACTCTTGGGAACAGAAAGTGGTTGGCAACTGAAGCCTGCAACACTTATTACAGGATAATTGTAGCTTTTGATGTTGCACCTCTTCAGATTCTTAGGAGATTATCCATTTTGATTCCATTTTGTATGGGTTCAGAAAATAATCTGCAAAAGCAAGCCGTGCTTAAGATGACTTCATAGTTCCCAAGAATTTTTTTTAAAGAATAAAAAATAAACACTGGATCTGAATAGACCGTTCTCCAAGAAGATATACAAATGATCAAATGCTTCATAACCTTATGAAATGATGGGCCATATGATTAGCCCTCAGGGAAGTGCAAATCAGAACCATAAGGTAATCACACCCAATAGGATGGCTGCAATCAAAAAGACAGATAATAAGTGTTGGTGAAGATATGGAGAACTGGATTCCTCACACAGTGCTTGTGGGAGTGTCAAATGGCTTAATTATTTCAGAAAATGTCTGGCAATCCATGAAGTGGTTAAACAAAGTTACAATACAACCTAGCAATTCATCTCTTGAATGTATATACCCAGGAGAAAATGAAAACATAATCCACACAAATGTTTATAGCAGTATTATTTATAATAGCCTAAAAGTAAAAATAACCTAAATGTTTATCAAATGATGGAATTTTTAAGGGATATTTCATACAATGAAATACTATTTGTCAATAAAAAGAAATGAAATACTGATTCATGCTAGAAATGAATGAACCTTAAAAACACTATGCTACGTGAAAGCAGCCAGGCACAAAAGACCACATATTGTATCACTCCACTAATATGAGTGTTTAGAATAAGCACATGTGTAGAGACAGAAAGTAGACTAATGGCAACCTAGCATTTGAGAGGAGTGCTGGGATAATTGGAGGGTGATAGCTAAAGGGTATAGGGTTCCTTCTGGAGTAATAAATGTATTCTGAAGTGTATATGGTGATGGTTGCATTATCCTAAAAGTAGTAATTGTATACTTTAAGTGGATGAAGTGTATGGTATGTATGTATGTATGTATGTATGTATGTATGTTATAGCTCAATTTTTTAAAAAAGAAATCTGGTTTCTCCACAACCTCATCAACATTTTGTGTTGTTGGTCTTTTTAATTTTAGCCTGTTGGTGTGTATTTTAATTTGAATATCCCTGATGTCTAATGATATGGAGTACTTTTTCATGTACTATTATCTTTTTCTATAAAGTGACTGTTCAATTCTTTTGCCCATATTTAAATTGGATTATCATTTTATTATTAATTGATGTAGTCATTATTGATTGCTATTGCCAATTACCCCAAAATTTAGCATCTGAAAACATTACCTCTCACAGATTCTGAGGCTCAGGAATCAGGGAGGTCAGGGAGATAGATGCTTAGCTGGGTGGTTCTGGCACAGTCTTTCCTGAGGTTGAAATCAAGGTGTTGGCTGGAGCTGCAGCCATCTGAATGCTCAGACAGGGGAGGCAGACCCAATTCCAAAGTCTCACTCGCAGGCTTGCTGTCAGGCTTTGGTTTCCTGCCACGTGGGCTTCTCTGTAGTGCTGCTCACAAGGTAGCAGCTGCCTTCCTCTAGGTCAAGTAATCCAAAACACAGAACCTCCGAGACAGAAGCCAGTACAGTATTTTTTATAACCTAACCTTGGAAGTGACAAACCATCACTACTGCCTTATTCTACTGATCACGCAGACCACCCCTTGGTGGAAGGGGACTACACAGGCATGTGAGTAGTAAGAGGTAAGGATCATTGAGGGCTGTGGGGAGGCTGGCCACTACTCGACCTTTCTTCCTTCCCCCATTACCAATCAGTCATGAATACATACTAATGATTCCTCTGAAACATCTCTCAAATTTGCTCTATCCTCTTAACACCTCAAAATACCATTCTAGTACCCTCAAGTAACTCATTGCAGGTCTAATTTCTTTCTCTGCCTGTCTCTCTTTCTCTCTCAACCACCATATCCTTCAATTCACTAGTTTACTGACAACAAATCTTCCAAAGATACCACTTTTGAGCAATTATTTGGCTGCTAAATAACCTCACAATTGTCTATAGCTAGATTGTCCAATACTACACACATGTGGCTATTGAG